GCCTTGTTTCACTCCTGTCTTCACTTCAAAGGCGTCAATGAGCTTTCCATTGTGGATCACTTGGCATGTGGCGTCTTCACATAGCTGTTGAATGAGGTTGATAAAGATTAGTGGCACACCACAGTGTTGAAGCAGTTTCCGAATTACTTCTCGGTCGGCGCTGTCGAAGGCCTTCTCAAAGTCGATGAAGTTGAGGTAGAGAGTTGACTGCCATTCTATACTCTGTTCTATGATGATGCGTAGCATAGCGTTGCAATTTCATCCACACATGATTTGTTCCTCCCGAAGCCAGTCAGCCAGCCAGCCAGCCAGCCAGCCAGCCAGCCAGCCAGCCTGTTCCGGTCGTAGTTTTGAATCCAGTGCATCTTGTAGTCTCTCCAGGATGATGTGGCATCATAATTTGCTTGGGGGTGGACAGCAGCATGATTCCTCGCAAGTTCTTGCAAACACTGAGGTCTCCCTCCTTCGGGAGTTTGACGAGGTAGCCCTTCTTCCAATCAATCAGCAGGTACCTTCCCTTCCTTCCTTGCAAACCTTCTGCAGTAGTGGTGTGAGCATGTTCGCTGTTGTCTCTGAGCCTGTTCTCAGTGCTTCAGGACAAATTCCATCTGGTCCTGCTGCTTTCCCACATTTCAGTAGCTTTCTGGCATTCAGGACTTCCACTTTTGTCGGAGTGTTTGTGTTCACTGACAGTTCAATGGCTGGGCTGCTGGTGGTATTTCTGGACGAGTTGCAGGTGTTGGTGGTGGTCGATTCAAGAGCTTTTTGAAATGGTCAGCCCATCGTTTCCTTTGTTTCTCTTCTTTGGTAACTAGCTTTCCTTCACTATCTTTCATTGGTCTCGTCTGAGTTGACCTCTTCCGGATAGTGACCTGGTTATTTGATATAATGTTGTCAGGTGTCTCCTACCAGCAGCCTGTTCTGCTTCACTTTCAAGTGTGTCGTTGAAGTGTCTTTTGTCTTTGCACGCACACTCTTCTTCACTTCTCTGTCCAGTGTAGTGTTTTATACGTTGCACTCAGTTCCTCTTCTCGTTGTGCATCCTTGCACTGCTTCATCTGCTTCTTATGAATGTGATGCAATAAATCACTTTATGGGCATCTTTGTCATCACCAGCTGAGAAGCGTCTTTGAGCGGTTCGTATTTTGGATATATACTAAAAGCTGTATGTATTAGGGTGAAGCCTGATGGGATATAATGGAAAACAAATTTGTTCGCTTACCTGTTAATAACGACAAACTGCTTCAACCTTGGGCTACCAAATTTTCCCACCCAACATAAATGTCAATTTTCACCTTTCATTTTATTTCAATCATTTAAATATATCGTCTACATGCATTATGTACTGTAACATGTTTTGAAAATTTTTGCAACTCACTGTTTCCGGAGTTAGTAGCGAAACAAAGAAAACAATGTCACGTTATAAAGAAGTAAACTATTTTGCGCGCAAAGTTACATCATATTTCAATGCCTCGAATACTTAGCTTCAGTTGCAAATTCCTATAGTTTCTGTTCTGGGTGTTGAACTTGGACTGTGGTCTATCATCAACTTCTTGAAGGTCTTCAACTTGATTTGGAAGGTTCCTTGCACTAGATAGTGAGTGGTGTGAAGCTAAATCTGCTCCCCTTCTTGATCTCGTGTCAAGTAGGCTGCGTCTCCACTTTCTTCGCATTGAGATGAAGTCGATCTGATTTCTAGTGTGTCCTGGTGTCTGGTGAAATCCATGTCGCTTTGTGAATATCCTTGTGTTTGTACACACTGCCTCGCCTCCAATCACCAAATCGTTGAATACACAGAAATCTGCAAACAGTTCTCCATTCTCATTCATCATTTCACCGAGTGCTTCTCGACACATGATGAGTTCTCTTCCTGTGTTGTCCGCTCCCAATTTGGCATTCATGTCATCTATTAGAATTTTGATGTCACCAACTGGATTGTGGTCTTGTCCATTACTGATTGCAGTTGTCTGTTGAATTCCTTCTTCTTCTCTTGATTCGCATTATTTGTAAGTGCACTGGGTAGCATTGTATGATTGTGACTTTCATTCCTTTTGAGTTGAATCTTGGTGTCATGATCCTGATGCTGGAGGAGATTGGTTCCTACTGCAGGAGAGCCTTCGATGTTCTTGAGGACATCATGATAACCACTCCAAAACTCAGTGTGCTCGTGGTTGTCGTCTGGGTGACAATATCGGAGTAGATTATTGATTCTCCAGTTGACAGTTTGGAGAGTCCACTCACATTCCATCTCTCTCGCAAATTCCAAGCACTTCAATGTGATGCCTCTTCATCTCTTTGGAAATCTGAGCAGCTTTGATAGGTTCATGCATGGTGCGGACATTCTATGTCCCCACGTTTACTCCCGTTTTCATTGAGAGAGAGAGAAGACACATCGGCCAATCGGCTTCCCGAAGGCTTTCATCAACCGGCGTCATCTTGTCTCTCCGATTCCAGCTAGGAATAAGTTTGTTCTTACTTTTTATATTTTGTTTGTGCTTTGAAGTTTCTTCAGTGGTTAGATTTGTTTTACGGGGTAGGGTTGCTAGCCCTATACCCAACCTTCCCTCTTTATCCGGGCTTAGGACCTGCTAGTAACTAGTGAAGTAATTAACCAGGCGGTGATTTGTAAAGTGTTTGCTTTTCGGTGGAACACGATTATCTTTAGGGGTCCTGTTTTTCGTGAATGTTCTCAGATGTATTCTCGCTTGAATTGTGTTCGTTTTCAAATTTCTCCCAAATTAGTAAGAAATGAACCTGCCACCCCTTGTGCATTAAATAGGAATGCAGTAATGTCATTAATTTTTCAGCGGTGTTCAAGTTTCGCCATAAATTCAGCGCCACTGTGTGTTTGGTATGATTCAGTCATTGTAAATAGACTGTTAGACCTCTGTCGCTCTCTTGATGCTGTTTCAAGGGCGAACCGGAAATCATTGAAGACTACTCATCTGAGTGGTACTGGCATGTTGTAACTGAGTATCAATATTTCAGGGGACTGAATGAAATGCAGATTAGCAGCCATGTTCAGACTCATGTAGTAAGTGATGATGCGGACTTATTGTGGTAAGATTGTGATACCGTCTACTTGTTAAGTGGACATATTTCTCTGACTTATTTACTCTTAAGTCTTGAGGCCAGTAATCTTGAGAAATTGATAGAACAGACGAAACTGCACCAGCAGTACATGGAATTTTTTTTATTATATGTAAAAGAAAAGTGGAAGTAGAAACCTTACGGAAGAACTTCAACTCTTTTCCTGTAAACCTCAACTTCACAGTTGAACACGACGAAAATTATCATGTCAACTTCCTAGACGTTTCCTTAGTAAAAGGGAATGATGGGTCTATAGAAAGATCCATCTACAGAAAACCTTCATGGTCTGGACAATATCTCCACTTCAAGAGTTTTGTCCCACTCCAAAAAAAAGGAACTTAATCGAAACCCTGTTTGGTAGAACAAAGAAAATTTGTTCTGAAAGTACCTTTGATTATGAAATGAAAACATTGAACCATATCCTAGCTAAAAATGGCTACTCTGAAATCTTTATCAATATGTATTCGAAAAGTAGACAGTGCGAAACAGCAGTTCTCATGACACCAAGAAAGTCAGTTTTTATTGAACCGCCTTCCAAAGGAGACTATGTCTTGGAAGTGGTTAAGCGAAGGCTAGACAAGACCATCAAAAGAACTTATTATGCAGCTAAGCTAGTACTTTTGAGCACCACCAGGTGGGTGTTGCAGCAATCAGTAAAAGATATGACTCCAATCCTCGACACATCTAACTGTATGTACCAATTCGAATGCACCTGTGGAAGCAAATACATAGGTCGTACGGAAAGGCATTTGTCTACTCGCATGATTGAAAATTTACTTAAATGGTTGAGTCAAACAGAATCAAAAATCCGGCTGAGTTCGATCACGAAATATCTAATAAATTGTCAACATGATGCTGACACCGCTAAGGCTTTCTCGGTTGTCAGCAGACAGTGGAATAAGAAAATGCTTGCTATCGTAGAAGCACGTGTGATTAGAGTTCTTAAACCGAGCCTAGATATACAGAAGAATATGGTAGTCACCCAGAATCTACCATGGTAGAGGTGTTGAAATTATTTATTTTCACTTGTAAATGTCTTGTTTTTCCACTTTATTTCTTCCTATACTTCTTATATTTACCTCTTCACCATCATTCTACTGTACTATCATGTCTTCTCGAACTTCACCTACTAGCCAAATGACTTATCTCCGCCGTTATTATCATTGTTATCGTCCAAGTACTACTCTAGCCTCCTTTATTTTTACACTGTTACCAAGCTTCTTAATTGGTGTTCATTTACCTTGTTTCAAAATGACGTAATTTAAATCTTTTCAATATTCATATTCTCATTGTTATCACTATCAATATTATCACTCACTCTTATTATTACTACTGTAGCCAATATTTTTGTTTACCTAACACCTATGTTCTCTTAATGTGCATCTTTACCAAGCTGCCTAGCCGACTTCTTATTGTTCTTTCGAAATGATGTAATCCATCCCTAGTCCTTTTATTTTTCATTATCAAGTCGTTACCCCTCCCAACCTAATCTTAATTCGCTTCGACATGAGTAAGTGATTCACTCCTTGTTTCCATCCCTCAGTCATGTCTTAGTCTGTATTGTGTGTTCCTTTATTGGACAAGAGTATATAAAATCATGTAAGTAGAGTAAAAAGCTGACGAGTCATACTGTAATTTATGAATTCCATCAATCCTGCTTAAATTACGTTTGTTGATTCTTTTAGGCGAAAATATAAATATGCATAACTATTGCACGCTGACTACTAAAAATATTCAATTATTATTCATGTCATTCTTTGCCATGTAATCACAGAAATAAAATGAAATATTTTTCCATATTCAAATTCTCATTTAGGCATTTAAGGAAGAAAGCGAACTGAGGCAAAACTAGTTTTCTTTTCAATCCATATGCATGCAATTAACACTGTTCCATAACCTTTCTTTTACAGACACATTCTGCACTTCTTTATGATGGTTTAAGTTTGCTTGCAATGGGTGTTCTGTCATCGTCACGTTCAACAAATATTCTACCACCAGCTGGTCTCTCCTGTCTAGTTAATCGTGTTTGGAATCCAGGACTGACGCTGATGAATGATATAAAAGCTGTGAGTCGATTAAGTATATACCTATTTTAATTATGATCATTATAATAATATCAATAACACTAAATGTTCTTAATGAATATGATTCCATGGGTAGGTAATGACTTCTTCCTCAGGAGGATTACTTGCTACTTAGAGATTCTTTGTTGTTTTTCCACTACTTCTTATGCTCAGTCTTAGTAGTATACTGAGATTCTTTCTTACCATAAGACTGGATAGGTTAAACTAAATTAGTTGCAGTTAATATCTATTGTTTATCTTTATTAGACGATATTGTTGTGTGAACTGACGTCGAAATGTATGCCGTAACTTAGATGGATTCCAGTACCGTATTAAATGTAAACCATCATTTGAATGAGAGTAGAATAGAAAATTGAATCAAATACTCAGTGTATGTCATATACTTGCAACAAGATATGATTAGCTGACACAGCGGAAGTTTTCTGGGACTGTAGACAGTTGAAGAACTTTAAGGAAATGATCGATTAGTTTCTGTTGGAGTTAAATCTTTCGATTTCATGTCAGCTTCAGTTTAAATTCTAAAGTTTTATAGGATTTAGCCAACTCTCCTAGGCTGTCATCTATTTATTCACTTTGTGAACTAACAGATGACTTGAAATCAGACACGATGAACTTAACTTCAACAACGATAGGCAAACTTACCACAAAATATATTCTTTTGTCACCAGGTGTAACGAATGAATGAGTAGGCTAATCACCAAAAAAACCTCACAAACTCTTTTTCCTAAGTGAAATTTGTGCTGAAACTACGAAGACTGAAAATAAAGTCTCAGTTTTTAAATTATTTCATTGAAAACAGAAAGATGTAAATATGATAACGAGAGTTTATATACATATCTCATTCTTGTTTCCATATTTATAAGGCTAAAAAGTGTATCATATCTCTAGGGAAATGAGGGATAATTCCACAATTTCCTTTTGGCTTCTCGGCCAAAGTGTTCTTTGTAGTGAATTGATAATAGTCGAATAAAAATACTCTCCAATCATGACTTATGCTGATAATTATTATGATAGTGATTATAGTCTGATCTTGATGAGCACATGAGTCTTCTCTCTCCCTTAGGAACAAATATACTATGCGTAGATTAGTCTAAAGAAGAGCTAAAACTCTCTTATTGACCAATCTAATCAAACCAACAAGTTTTAATGATTCGATGACGAAAAAGGAACCATATGGGATAACTGAAAAATTTGTTGTTCATCCCAATTACATTGTGACGTTCATGTGTTGTATTAGTGATATTTTGTTCGTTATTTTCGACCAAAGCCTAAAAGAGTTGTAGCATAAACTACGAGCGCCAAGTACTTGTTTCCTATATCTCCAATAAACTTTTAAGTTAGTAGAAAATATTGCATTTTATTTATATCAATACTTATTGTGGTTTGAGGTCTCAATGGATAGGATTACACAATCAGTTGAGACTGTTGGTTTGAATCCTGCCATGAATCCGGATTATATATATGTTTCAGTCATCACTACCCTACCTCAGATTATCCTACAAAAATCTTTATTAGAAATAAATCAAGGGCAAGTAAAGAACACTGAGTACGTATGTGCTTTGCCAAACCTAGGTTTAACAAGGTTTCTTACTAACCACCTCAAATAATCCAGAATTATGTTAAAATAACTTAAGTTTTTAAAAAAACATTAGTCGTAGAAAATGAGAAAAGCAGTAACTCTGAACTGATAAGTGAACTGACCGACACTTCAAAATGTTAGGATATCAAGTGAGAATCTTGAGATTCGATGCACACTTCATGAAAAAAATCATGCTGTATATAGGGTGGTCATGAAATGAAGCGGGTCAGTTTATCACTTATGAATTCACTACAAGGCTAACTGGCGGTTAAGGATTTTACTAGCCTGGAAACTGTAAGTTAAAGTAAATAATTGTCAACTGTTTATTAATTAAACTTGAATAATTTAGGAATAAAACTTGGGTTAGTGGACATCAGAACGTTATATCACATTATTGACCGACAAAATCTAGACATCTATTTAAGGCATAATAATCATTCGTTCTACTCCAAGACTTCTTTCATATGTTAAGATGCTTATCTCAAGAACTTGCATACTTCGCTGGGAGTACAATGCAATTTCGCGTGCAACTGCATAGACACGTGGAAACTTAATCAAGTAATAAAATGATACAACCTATTAAGAATTATAATTCAAGCCAATGCAACTACAGTGTACTCAGATTGAATTGAGGAGTGGCGGGATTCGGGTTACAAATTATTAACAGAAAATCAAGCCGAAGAATTTGATCGCCGTTTTGAATATTCAATATTTGGAAGAAGTTTATCTCAACTCATCTCGGTAGCAATCCTCAAAAACTCTAGCAAGGGTACAGAAATATTGAATATTTTCATGAACATTAATAAACCCATCATCTCTTTGATTATTACATTTCTATCATTTGCCCTGCGGGTTCCTGATGGAATATAGGGCTTCAGTAGCACGTCTCCAATGCGCTCTGTTCTCTGAAATATTTTGAACCTGGCTCCACGACTACCCACAAGCTCTCATTTCCTCCTCACACGATCTCCTCCATGTCACCCTCACCTGGGACGCCCAACTCGTCGCTTCCCCTTTGGATTCCACTCGACGGTCTGCCCTAGTGTGTGATGTCCCCAGTCGGCCTTCTCAGTGTATCCCCAATCCAACTCATCTACACTTTCTTCTGCATATTTGTTGGGCGATGGGTTGTTGGTTGGTTCGTTGCCAGTCAGAGGTCCTTGTTGCTTGTTCTCTCTGCCCATCCATCTGATCTTCAGTATCGAGCGTAGGCAGCTCTTGATGAATGTCTGTAGCTTGTTGGAAGTGCTTTTCGTGACACGCCAAGTCTCTGAGCCATACAGAAACACTGACTTGACTGACGTTGGTGTTGAAAATCTGGATCTTATTCATGCTTTATACTGAGTGCAGCAGATCTCCACACTGATTTCAGGCTAATGAAGGCCTATCTTGATTTCGCGATCCTGAATTTTACGTCCTCGTTTGCGCCGCCTGTAGTTGAAACAGTGCTGCCTAGGTATGTAGGTGAAAGAGACTACTTCCTTTAGGTTTCTCCCGTTAATGGTGATTGGTGCTTGTTGTTGATGCTGTTGTTGTTGGTTGGGTATCTTCATCACCTCTGTCTTCTCCACATTCACTTGAAGTCCCGTCTTCGCTGCCTCTTCGGTCAACTTGTTAGTCTTCGCCTGTAGATCTTCGAGTTTGTGCGACAAGACATTGGACATAAATCATCATCGAGGGCGGAATCCAAATCTTTTTCTGAGGTCTTTTCATCGGTCCAGCCAGCGTATGTCCATCTTCTCGCTCCTCACGGTTTGCTGCATGATCCAGTCCAGTCGAACACAATCAAGAATGTCATGGGTGATAGTAGGCAGCCTTGTTTCACTCCTGTCTTCACTTCAAAGGCGTCAATGAGCTTTCCATTGTGGATCACTTGGCATGTGGCGTCTTCACATAGCTGTTGAATGAGGTTGATAAAGATTAGTGGCACACCACAGTGTTGAAGCAGTTTCCGAATTACTTCTCGGTCGGCGCTGTCGAAGGCCTTCTCAAAGTCGATGAAGTTGAGGTAGAGAGTTGACTGCCATTCTATACTCTGTTCTATGATGATGCGTAGCATAGCGTTGCAATTTCATCCACACATGATTTGTTCCTCCCGAAGCCAGTCAGCCAGCCAGCAGCAAGCCAGCCAGCCAACCAGCCTGTTCCGGTCGTAGTTTTGAATCCAGTGCATCTTGTAGTCTCTCCAGGATGATGTGGCATCATAATTTGCTTGGGGGTGGACAGCAGCATGATTCCTCGCAAGTTCTTGCAAACACTGAGGTCTCCCTCCTTCGGGAGTTTGACGAGGTAGCCCTTCTTCCAATCAATCAGCAGGTACCTTCCCTTCCTTCCTTGCAAACCTTCTGCAGTAGTGGTGTGAGCATGTTCGCTGTTGTCTCTGAGCCTGTTCTCAGTGCTTCAGGACAAATTCCATCTGGTCCTGCTGCTTTCCCACATTTCAGTAGCTTTCTGGCATTCAGGACTTCCACTTTTGTCGGAGTGTTTGTGTTCACTGACAGTTCAATGGCTGGGCTGCTGGTGGTATTTCTGGACGAGTTGCAGGTGTTGGTGGTGGTCGATTCAAGAGCTTTTTGAAATGGTCAGCCCATCGTTTCCTTTGTTTCTCTTCTTTGGTAACTAGCTTTCCTTCACTATCTTTCATTGGTCTCGTCTGAGTTGACCTCTTCCGGATAGTGACCTGGTTATTTGATATAATGTTGTCAGGTGTCTCCTACCAGCAGCCTGTTCTGCTTCACTTTCAAGTGTGTCGTTGAAGTGTCTTTTGTCTTTGCACGCACACTCTTCTTCACTTCTTTGTCCAGTGTAGTGTTTTATACGTTGCACTCAGTTCCTCTTCTCGTTGTGCATCCTTGCACTGCTTCATCTTCTGCTTCACCATCCTCCTCTCCTCTATCAGCTCCCATGTGTCCGTCGAGATCCATTCCTTGTATTGTCTTGTTTCTTTTTCCTTCCTAATGCGGTTATGCAGGTTTCTTTCCACATAGCTTTCAAAGAGTTCCAGTGTTCTTCCACGCCCGATCCTTCAGGGATGTTGCTCAATGTCCCCCATTTTGTTCCGATGTTTGACGTGAAGATGTCCTTTGTAGTTTCATCCTTCAGTTTCTGTTCTGGGTGTTGAACTTGGACTGTGGTCTATCATCAACTTCTTTGAAGGTCTTCAACTTGATTTGGAAGGTTCCTTGCACTAGATAGTGAGTGGTGTGAAGCTAAATCTGCTCCCCTTCTTGATCTCGTGTCAAGTAGGCTGCGTCTCCACTTTCTTCGCATTGAGATGAAGTCGATCTGATTTCTAGTGTGTCCTGGTGTCTGGTGAAATCCATGTCGCTTTGTGAATATCCTTGTGTTTGTACACACTGCCTCGCCTCCAATCACCAAATCGTTGAATACACAGAAATCTGCAAACAGTTCTCCATTCTCATTCATCATTTCACCGAGTGCTTCTCGACACATGATGAGTTCTCTTCCTGTGTTGTCCGCTCCCAATTTGGCATTCATGTCATCTATTAGAATTTTGATGTCACCAACTGGATTGTCGTCTTGTCCATTACTGATTGCAGTTGTCTGTTGAATTCCTTCTTCTTCTCTTGATTCGCATTATTTGTAAGTGCACTGGGTAGCATTGTATGATTGTGACTTTCATTCCTTTTGAGTTGAATCTTGGTGTCATGATCCTGATGCTGGAGGAGATTGGTTCCCACTGCAGGAGAGCCTTCGATGTTCTTGAGGACATCATGATAGCCACTCCAAAACTCAGTGTGCTCGTGGTTGTCGTCTGGGTGACAATATCGGAGTAGATTATTGATTCTCCAGTTGACGGTTTGGAGATTCCACTTCCATTCCATCTGCTTTCACAGATTCCAAGCACTTGCATGCCATACCTCCTCATCTCTTTGGAAATCTGAGCAGCTTTGATAGGTTCATGCATGGTGCGGACATTCTATGTCCCCACATTTACTCCGTTTTCATCGAGAGAGAGAAGACACATCGGCCGACTGGCTTCCCGAAGGCTTTCATCAACCGGCGTCATTTTGTCTCTCCGATTCCAGCTAGGAATAAGTTTGTTCTTACTTTTTATATTTTGTTTGTGCTTTGAAGTTTCTTCAGCGGTTAGATTTGTTTTACGGGGTAGGGTTGCTAGCCCTATACCCAACCTTCCCTCTTTATCCGGGCTTAGGACGGGCTAGTAACTGGTGAGCTCTTAACCATGTTGTTTTTTGTACTTTGGTGTCTTGTCTTTGTCGAATTACCTTACTTTTACTGGTACCACTGAAACCGTTTCATGACTGTTGAGGATTTTAGGTTGACTTATGTTTCTTTTTGCAGGTCGTGTGGGACTATTTATTATTTTACAGAGCCGTTGTGATTCCATGACTTCAACTTGGGTTTCTCCGGGCATTTTTTTTAAGGAGTGCTACACGCTATACGACAAGTGAAATACTATCTTTTGTGGTTGTGATTCTGGACCTGATTCACTTGAAATTATGTCGTCTTTTTGAAGAGGAAAAGCTTTTTCGCTTGTTATTAGAGCTGTGCAGTCCTTCAAATTTAATTGTCTATATTAAACTATTTGTATTTAGAGGACAATAAGATGGTTAGATATAACACTTAAGTTTAGCAGACATGAATCAAGAAATTTAGATCGATCACCTGCATAATTGTGATGCATAATTTTGACAGCAGACTGTGATGCCAAAGTTCGGCTTTATTTCACCTTAATAAAGGGGGTGCTATGTAAAATAATTTGAAGTATTCCCATTCACCTTTTATAAATAACTAGAATAGTCCAGTTAGATGATTTAAAATACGGCCAGACTATTTTAAAAGCCTAAGGTTTTTTTAAAATAATATTCATTCTAAGGTTGACACTGAGAGCAGGAACCAGTGTTGGTAGACAATAAAGCGTAGCAGTATTAGCAGGTTAACTAAAATCTCGATATATATTTGAATAAAACGGTCTAATGCCGAGATTTAGGTCACCAACCACTGGACTGATGACTTTTTAGTTTCTTTCCTTTCTAAGTGGGATTTCATGTTATTTATATTGGATAGGTGAGTTCTTGAACGCACATGAAAATGTCATTTTGGTTAACTGGTCATCACGATAAGCTTGCTGAAATGTTAAGTACACTTTTCTTTCAATAACGTATGAAAGACACTCAAATTGCGCTGAGACATACAAGCACGAATATAGAAGCATTACTAGTGAGGCGTTATATTCTGAGAGGTATACAACTAATTCATTCGGATGTAACTGTAAGATGAGGTCTAACTGAACTACGATACCTAAATGTATAAGCAGGTAATTCCAGTCATATGCTTCAGTCTGAGATGAATGTAGACGAGAAAGTATAATAATTTAAAAATGGTTTCATTTCTAATGTTTAGAAGGAAGCCTTTGAAGGATTGGAGTAAAACCATAAACTGACTAGATCTCGTCTTTCACTCTGTAACGTAGTTCATCTATTAAGGAAAATGACACTAACTGGAATCCTGAAGTTAAACGGGTTTTTATTCAAACTTAGTCCTCACCTGAAATCTAAAAAAATCTATCATTAAGGTAGCCACATAAAACATAATAAAAACCTTGACCTTCGTAGATTAGTGAAGTCCTTTCAATTTCGTAAAGACTTGCAACTTTATTCCTCATGCGACTTGAAAAATATCTGTTGATATCTGCCAGTGTCCATCAATTTAGCGGAAAATGAATGGTCTCATGTTTCAAAATGTATGCTACGAATCAATTTAAATATTTTTTTTGATGAAGTATTCGAAGTTAAGATCTGTCTGGTTGGGAAAACACGTAACAGTTAACTTATTTACCCATTATGACTACTGTAGTATTATGAATATCTATAAGGTTTGCTATTCTTTTGCTCTCCTAAATCTAGGTACGCCCAACCAGTTTCCGAGGTCTGACTGGACCATTTCAGTTTGATGGACATGGTTGGCGTTCAAACGCTTACTTGATTATTCTGGAACTAGGTCGAAATGGTTTTCAAGAAGTAGGTGAACCCATTGTTATTTTTCAGACGTCTATTTAACACATCAGTTTTTTTTACAAATCCTAGTCATGAAAGTACCCACGCTACTGCACTACTTTATCAATGAGTTTCAGGATCATTGCTGGTGATGACGTTTTCATGATCGACTCAGAATCCAGGATTCGAATGCTTCCCCTTATTATTCGATTAAGTTCATTGAGTAAACCTGAATACAGCCGATAATAAGTGAAGTAAAGCTAACATATAATGCAAATGCTCTGCCACCTGGTCTGCCAATTTGAAATTGATAATTGGAAATGCTTTCAAAGTAATCCAGCACATAAAATTCGATTATTTTTGAATATGAGTTTGGACTGCTCAGCTTAAGAAGTATCAAGTTATTAACTGAATTGATTTTAAAATGTTGAGGTGTTAGAATTATTACTTCCCCATAGAAATGATAAATAAAGTGTTGCTGAAGACATTGTGCTACAGATTGATGAAAATGACGTCCTTTCCATGTTAATAATGTGTATGTAATATAACACACGATGATACATTATTATTTTCTTGGTGATGTGCCAACCATAAATAAATATGACAGTAAAATTTGAGCATACTGGTAGGATGAAGTCCAATTTCAGTTGATTTATTGCATGTAACACGCAGTGAGTGTTATTTACTGGATTACCACCTAGACACGATTTATTGTTCATAGTCACATCAAGATGACTCCACAACTTTGAGACTTAGCTCACATAGTTCTAATTCTCTTGCCTTCATTGTGATATAGGTAGTAGGATTTTCCATACATCAGGAACAGGTGGAGTCAATTCCTGTTGCATGTATTATGTGTTGATTAGGTTACCAATCTCTCTTTCCAGCTCACTAAGTTAACTGTTAGGCTTTTCATTTTGTACCATTTTATTGTTCAGTTGTGTATAATGGCATGCATGGCTATGGTCTAGCTTTCTTCTAAATTCCAAGTTTGCTCTAGCTAGGCTTTTGTGCTCGGATAACTTGACTGACTCTGGCCGACTACTGTGATCTATGTATTTGACCTCGCAAACGTTGCAGGGGACTTGGTAAACTAGATAATTCTGCCTAAATGGGTCATCAGGCCCTCTTAACCTACAAAGCTTATTCTGAATGAGTTCGTAGGTTTAAATGCCGGCCTTATACAGAATCCTACGTAATGCTTCTGAGTTGTCTTCATTTTATAGTAATATTATAGAGGTCTCGAATTCTGCCCTTGTCTTTAGAAAGCCTTCGGGCTCAAACCATTACTTGGACTTAAAATCATCTCACCCGTTGTCAGTTAAAGTTGGCTTAGTAGAGTTTTTAAGCAACAGGGACAAGAAACTAAGTAGTAGTTCTAAGACAAGATTTCAGATACATTAAAAACACATTACTTATGAATAATTACCCCCTAAAAGAATCAATAAATTACTTAGCAATCATAATAGTAGTAGCAAAAGTGTTAATAATAACAATGTTATTAATAATAACAAAGAAATACTGTAGAGATAGAATGTTGTTTCATTGTGTGATACATTTAATAAATTGAATAAAACGGAACTAAATTCAACCTCAGTGCCCAGGCTTTACTCTTGTATTTCATTGCATTATCCTCAACTACATTTAAGCTGATATTAGATATAGATTGAATGTCTAAGTCACAGCGGGTTCGAAGTCAAATAATTCCAACGTTTCGTACGGAAGCCTAGTTCGATCTTCTCCAGGGAAATAAATTCAGAAAACGTGTATTTCTTCTCCTTGTACAATCCTCTTCGTATAGTCATTGTCTTTCTAAATTTTATGATAACGAATCATTCAGTGTGAGATTGTATGCCTTTGTATGTACGTTACATGTGTATGTATATATGTACCCCAATTCATCTTCGTCTTGATTATAAATATCACACAAAAAGGTAAATGGTGACAGTCATTCGGTAATTTTTTATAAGTACAAACTCAAAATGATCAGGTGGATGTGTAAAGTCGTGAAGTGTTAGCGAAATTTCTTGTCATTCATTTACCGGAATAAAGCGGAAATTAGTTACGATAATGATGATGATGCCTCGATACTGGTGGACATTTATGATTTTATATACATGTTTGTGTCTAGGAGTGAAATCCTGGATTCGCGTTTTATCTTACTTGGATATCGTCAGCTGGATTCACTTGCACTCTTTTGAGTGATGCTATGGCCCTTAAGAATCAAAACCCATTACCTATCACTTCAAACGCCGAAGTATCAAAGCAACTTACTGTTATTGCACAAGAGGCGGCTATCAGGGCCCTGTAAGCTGCTGGGTAATGCTTTGAATTTGGTAGCGATTAGTACTGGGTTCGAGTCTCAGTGGATACAACCTCACTCACTGGGAGGCAGGTACATCCATCTGACAAGTCCTAAGTAAGAGGAAACGTGCTTTCTTTATTCCATTCTTAGTCACCATTATGAATTTAATACCTTAAGTTAATAAAGTAAAACAGTTAAAACAAATGTGAGCAAAAGTGGAAACCAAAATATTGCCCAGTTATCGCAGATTAAGAGAACTATTTGTAAAAATGTTGAGTTTTATTGCATGCAGAGTTTTATCATTCATTGAACTAGAAATTTTAACATGATCCTGATGTCAGACTTTGTAATGAAGGAATGAGCAGAAATATGCCAGTGATGAGAAATGAAGACGAATACCCCACTCATACAAAAAACAAAAGCTATCAGGTAGCTGACACTGTAATAAGGTGTCTGAAGGTCAATAGATGATGGTTTCTGAATGCAAGCTTCAAGTCTCGAACTTTTGATTGCATCTGCCTCTGCGTAGACAGGTAGATTTGAATTGCTATGCGTAATTATTAATTCAAATAGATTTTGCATCTTCATTTGACGGAGCAATGTTTTATTATTAGGCAGAGAGTTGACTGCCATTCTATACTCTGTTCTATGATGATGCGTAGAATAGCGTTGCAATTTCATCCACACATGATTTGTTCCTCCTGAAGCCAGTCAGCCAGCCAGCAAGCCAGCCAGCCAGCCAGCCTGTTACGGTCGTAGTTTTGAATCCAGTGCATCTTGTAGTCTCTCCAGGATGATGTGGCATCATAATTTGCTTGGGGGTGGACAGCAGCATGATTCCTCGCAAGTTCTTGCAAACACTGAGGTCTCCCTCCTTCGGGAGTTTGACGAGGTAGCCCTTCTTCCAATCAATCAGCAGGTACCTTCCCTTCCTTCCTTGCAAACCTTCTGCAGTAGTGGTGTGAGCATGTTCGCTGTTGTCTCTGAGCCTGTTCTCAGTGCTTCAGGACAAATTCCATCTGGTCCTGCTGCTTTCCCACATTTCAGTAGCTTTCTGGCATTCAGGACTTCCACTTTTGTCGGAGTGTTTGTGTTCACTGACAGTTCAATGGCTGGGCTGCTGGTGGTATTTCTGGACGAGTTGCAGGTGTTGGTGGTGGTCGATTCAAGAGCTTTTGAAATGGTCAGCCCATCGTTTCCTTTGTTTCTCTTCTTTGGTAACTAGCTTTCCTTCACTATCTTTCATTGGTCTCGTCTGAGTTGACCTCTTCCGGATAGTGACCTGGTTATTTGATATAATGTTGTCAGGTGTCTCCTACCAGCAGCCTGTTCTGCTTCACTTTCAAGTGTGTCGTTGAAGTGTCTTTTGTCTTTGCACGCACACTCTTCTTCACTTCTTTGTCCAGTGTAGTGTTTTATACGTTGCACTCAGTTCCTCTTCTCGTTGTGCATCCTTGCACTGCTTCATCTTCTGCTTCACCATCCTCCTCTCCTCTATCAGCTCCCATGTGTCCTTCGAGATCCATTCCTTGTATTGTCTTGTTTCTTTTTCCTTCCTAATGCGGTTATGCAGGTTTCTTTCCACATAGCTTTCAAAGAGTTCCAGTGTTCTTCCACGCCCGATCCTTTCAGGGATGTTGCTCAATGTCCCCCATTTTGTTCCGATGTTTGACGTGAAGATGTCCTTTGTAGTTTCATCCTTCAGTTTCTGTTCTGGGTGTTGAACTTGGACTGTGGTCTATCATCAACTTCTTTGAAGGTCTTCAACTTGATTTGGAAGGTTCCTTGCACTAGATAGTGAGTGGTGTGAAGCTAAATCTGCTCCCCTTCTTGATCTCGTGTCAAGTAGGCTGCGTCTCCACTTTCTTCGCATCGAGATGAAGTCGATCTGATTTCCAGTGTGTCCTGGTGTCTGGTGAAATCCATGTCGCTTTGTGAATATCCTTGTGTTTGTACACACTGCCTCGCCTCCAATCACCAAATCGTTGAATACACAAAAATCTGCAAACAGTTCTCCTTACTCATTCATTGTTCAATGATCAGTGAACCAGACCAATCTGACCGGGCTGTCTCTGTTTTCTATACACTACCTAGCACCTTTTCTTTCTTATCATCAATTTCCTGCCTCCATCCCTGTAAACATCTGTTGGCAGACTTTCATGTGCTCCTTCTTGGTATCGTATCATGTTCGATACAGTTACCACCTTATCCCATCGATCAAGTTCCAAATATGCTTGTTAAGTTATATGACGTGACAGTGCTGCTTAATATGTTTGTTTTTTGAAGTTTTGAGTTGATTGGAAGAAAACTTTATACCATTAGTATATTGAAAGCAAGCAAAAACACTTGTAGGACTGATGTTAGTATGTAAATTTGTTCCCATTTTACGACTAGTGTAGCTGTTGGTGTTATCTGCTGATCGAAGTCGACTAATGTCACCAGTTAGCTAGGTGACTGCGTGTTATCTTTTGTTTGGTGGTCGGTTCTGAGACAAGATAAGTTGAGAAGCACTCGTCTCAGCTTTCATGCTTAACAGCACTTATACGCATAGTATGTCTGCAGTGACGAAAAATCTCATGTTCCCTATTAGATTGAAGCTGTGTTTCTAACTACTGAAATCAAATGTTATGATAGCGAAACAGAAAGTTATACTTTGTGAATTAAATTTCTATGAGATGTTTATCAGTGATGTGGAAAATGAAAAATTAAATTGCGCTGCTTAGAAGAAGTAGGGAGATAATTTTCATGACAGTGAAACAAAGTAAAAATAGAGCCCAAAAGCGCAATGTTTTCTCTGAACTTATCAAGCAAGTAAGTAATCCATCTTTATCAAAAATCGATGACGATTATTGGCCTTCGATAGGTAAAGATTTTGTAATAGTGATTAACATGTTTCATGTTTATTGAGAGACTACTTGTGTACAGATATAGGAGAACTAATCTTTCCTTAGAAATAAAGACCGGCGTATTCACTTACTTTGTAAGTAGCAATACAGTGTGAATAGACAATTATTAATGATTTGAGTGCAACAATTAGTGGTCTGAATGTGAACTTTTGTATGGAGGTACCTCCATCAAAGTTGGAAGTACGTCCTCATTGTTATGTGATCTTTTATATGCTTTACGACTAAGCATTTCACTAACTAGATGTCAAACAAAGTTCATCAAGAAAAACTGCGTCTTTGTGTTTAGAAACTAGGTTACAAAAGAGCAATTCATCCACTTTACTTAATACCAGCGATTTAGTAATATGAAATTATTTATTATCCCCTAAATGAAAAGTTCTTTGTCTTTGTATATTATGGTTACTAGAGGGTGATAGACTGATTTTAATGCTACTGATGAAAATAGAACTGTGAAATCCAGCGAAGACTGCTTAACTGGCTGTACCTTCAGTGTACATCATCAGGTGTCTCCTAAAGGAAAACTTAAAAGTGTGCAAATAAAATACCAATTCATAGAGAGCAATTGTCTTAAGGAAAGAAGTGTTTTCAAAAAAAGATCCAACTGAAGAATTTATTTTCAGGAAAATAGTGAAGTTGGACCAAGTATCACTTGATTCTATGAGTTCCTTTTTTGTAAGCAATTTTGGAGTCAAAAAAAGAGTACTAGACAAAACAGACTGGCAAGTCAATTTATGAGGTTGTGGACGTCATTGGACTGAAGTGGTTTGACAGGAACTACACATGCCCAGCCACCACCTACCTCGACCTTACACACTGGAAGAAGATGGATTAAGTTGAAAGAGGGTTCAGGTTGAGCAGACAAAGAAGTAGCCACAGTCGATGAAGTCTCTGACCGTTGTCCTGAGGCGTGTGGGGAGATGTAGACTGTCTGTCTGGGATCCCCGAGACGAAAGAAATCAGTGGTTACGGACTCTTAGTGACATGGCTGCAAATGTTTGTCACAGTGGTGTGGATGTATTCATTCCTTAACATCTTCTTAAGCTTCAATATCTTTAGATTGTCTATTCTCTTACACTACTTTGTCTACTTTGATATCACCCTTTATCTTGCAGGGGAAGTTTCATCACTGGATATGTTGTACGAATTACTTAAATGTGACACCAAAGTTGTTGGATATTTCCTCATCTTTTACACTTTATCACGTGGCGCTTTTGTTTGGCGGAGTTAGTTATAATGGAAGTAGTTAGCTCTTTATCAGTTCACCTAAATTACTGAAAAATGTTACGAAGGTTAGGATGTTTATAAATAGTAATTTACAGCTGGCCGAGTAGAAGTGAATTAAAGAAAATTGTATGCTGCATAGATATACCTTGTCTCAAATCTTAAATGGAAGTTTGAGAGAAGTTTGTCAGAATTCATCACAAGACAGTAAAGTCAAAAACGTTTTGCGACACTAATACACTTACTTCCCCTCAACGATCTCTGACTTTTCAACATTTAGCAGTGGTTTTTGTATTGCTGATGCACGTTTGTTAACGAATCACACCAGTTTGTGCTTATAGCTTTTATAAACATCAGTGAGTGGAAAGTAAGCAATTTCAGGTTGTCTAGTCCAAAGGACTAACCTCACTGTATCGTTCATATTGCTATGTAGTCATCAGTCTAAACAACTCACCACCGCGATTTACTTTGACTGATATTAGATGGATGGAGGTAGGCGACATAAGTTTTGTGCTTGTTGCTACTTTTCAGTTAGGTGTACCTGCAATTTTAAAGGAACCGATACTCCTGAGAAACTCGAAATCACACTATCCAGTCCTCAAATTAGAAACGTTACCACCAAGCAACTCGAGCTATTTTGACGTGGTAATTTTTGCTAATCTTATTATGAATGCTATAAATGTGGCCAGACTTCGACTTTACTAAAATGTTTATTACGAAACGAAATCACTTGTTCGCAATCTTCATTACTTTGAATTCAGAAACATTTTATGCGATTATATCATTGAAGGGTTGTGATAATTATTAATGAGAAAATTGAAATACAATCAAGCCCTTTTGTTTCTATTATATGCAACAGTATGGTTACTGGAATATGGATGAAGGTCTGGTTGTAACAAAAAATTTCAGTCTAACAAAACAAGAATATCAATCTGAACTAAAAGGAAAGGTGCTACGTATAACTACACAAGAAGTAAGTGATGTTTTCGCATTTATAATAAAAACGCATTCTTCTTTTTCCAGCTTTATAATCACTTTTATCCTCTTAGCCATCACTAGCTAGTTCACGTGGGGATTCCTAATTCACACATCTTGTATTGCTACCAGTGGAAACTGTAGCGCATGGGAACTGCTGGACATGGAATCAGTTCTAGTGCTTGAACAAACAGTGCGTTCTCAAGAAAAATGGTTATTTGTCCTCTAAAGTTTCGACATTTTCATTCTGTGCATTATGTCGTTGGGCAGAAAGGCATTTTTAAAATTATATATGCAAACTTGGATATATGCACAATATCAAATAAGTCGATATCGTGAAAGTACCTCTCCAATATCTCTGAAATATTGTCCAACAGTTTATTTTAAAAACGGTGAAATTACAGATGAGACGTTGAGGTAGGCTTGTCAAGTGATTGCATTCAAAAGGTGATGCTATATTACTTGTGTTAAATTGGAAGCTGTACGTATAGATATTGAGTGATCTTGAAAAGTGCATGGTAAATGAATTGAAAACCTCAAACACTAACTTTCTTAGGCGTTGCATGCACTTTTACCATATAGTCACCGCCAGTAACCTATAAACCTAATAATATTATTAGAATAAAGTTTATTTAAAAAGGTTGCATTTCAAGAATAACAGTTGTTTGAAAGAGATTGAAATCATTGTACATTCGCGTGTAGATATAAAACTAGCGTGGATGGAGTACATGATCTCTTTTTCTACCACCCGAAAGTCCTTAGATTATCACTCACTGTAATAAAGAGATGACATCTAAAGCTATTTTATTAGAAGACAAACAAGTACACTACTTCTCAACATAAATGCAACAGTATATTCGCCGACTATCATTAAGTGAACTGACTCCCTATATTCGAACACTTGAAAGAAAACTTTTGACTTCCACGCTTCATTTATAAGAATTTCTCAAAATAAAATTTGTCGAGAAGTTCAACTCCCTACAACCATACTTGGCTACTTAAATATCCAGAGGTAGTTAGGAAACTCCAAAACATTTTAGAATATTATAATTGATCCTTGTTAAATCATAATCTGCCTTAAAAGCATGTGTTTACCTGAAAAATTCCGAATAATCTGACTGAATGTGAATGATTTCAACGTTTCCTTAGAAAGGTGGGCAGTAGATAGAAAGTACATGTCCTAACACTATCAGCTGCTCATTAGTTACCTACTAAGTCGCCTTAAGCAACAGACGATAGAATGCTTTTCAAAGTTATAAGACAAATAAGAGAGTCAGGTTAAAGCTATGTGTAGGGTCAAATTGCTTCCAACGATTTTGCGTGCTGATGACTGTATCATTTTGGTTGATGCAAACCGAACTCCGTTTCCGTCTGCAAAAGTGCGTATAGAAGTTCATTGTCTGACGAATTTCTTTCGCCTTAAGAGATAATAATGACGACCTTTAATTTAAGCATCAAGTTAAGCCTTTTAGGCAGAATACTAAATGTTCTTCTACCGAGGTGGTTTCATCTTGTATCCTCGACAATATGAACGTTTTCAGCTATTACTAGCTTAGTTTGCAAATTGCCTTAGTGATAATAGGGATTACACATGTTAGCTACATAACGTCCCATAAATATCACTGATGCTCATCTGCTCATCTGCATGTGATGTTGAGTGGGACTACTACTACTACTCCTTGATACGTATGGGGTTGAACTTGTAAAGTATACGAATAATTTTAAAATTGCAGTAAAGTTACGACTAGCCTTAAGAACCACCTTAGCAAATACTAAAATACGTAATCAGATCTCGGACTTTCAGCTGAGAAGGCAGTTTTATGCCTTTGAAGTCACCCTAAAGTGTCCTTCTATGACTGTTCAACACTTGAAAGCCATCAGTGTAGGACATACCGTAATTATACATTAGTTGATGTTTCTACATTCTTAAAGAAGGTAGTAACACCAAATCAAGCAGGTGACGAATAAACGAAGGCAATATAATGAACATTTGAGAGAAGTGCTACGCAAATATTGTAAAAGGTTGAAAAAAATACAGAAGCAGTGCTATCAAGATCTGGGACAGATAGCGTGTAAGTACTTCTACACCGCATAGAATTATTCTGAGCTGTATAGCCCAATATCTTGAAACATTTGTTTTGCTTGCTACATTGACCCAAAACAGGAGGAGTACAGTTTTTACCATGAAGTATTTCATGAGAAAGGGATTTTAAGGACTGGTGCATATCTTAATTTGGACAAAATATATTTTTATTTTCAGTGCAGCTGTAGATATCATGATCTATTTACATAAGACGTGATTGGTAGGAAATATTGTTTATTTCTATCAATTCAGTCGGAACAGTTCTGAAACTCCCTCTTCCCAACGATTTGTACCAGTTACAACTTTTTTATCACAGGTATCCTCGTAGCATTGCACGCGTTCAGTGGAATCACAATTTAACTAATGTCTAGGTTAAGTAAAGAGTACTGAGCAACGAAGGTAAGCCAGTCAATGAGGTTGTGGAAGTCAGTCGACTGAGGTGACTTTGACATGACATGCCTAACCACCACATACTTCGACTTGACATTCTGAAGAAAGTTAGATTACGTTGGTATAGGGTTTTAGGGTGACCAGACTAACACAGAGACTCGGTCAATGAAATTTCTGACTGTTGGTCTGAGTCATGTGGGGAGATACAAACTCCCTGGGTGGGGTCCCTGAGACGATAGAAATCAGTGGTTAAGGGCTCTTAGTGACGGCTGAATATCTGTCACAACGGCTCAAACGTATTCACTCCTTTACTTCTTCTAAAACTTTAACCTTACTTTATAAATTAAACCTTAGGTTATATTATTATCACTTTCCGGTTGTTTTCTATGTATTACATTGAATTGTGGCAAGTTGAATCGATGCACTTGTGTGCAAGATTGTGTGCATTAATGCCACCACGAATTGTACATGGATAATGAAGCTTTCAGATTTATTTTCTCCGGGCGCCATGTTTTGCAGTTGAGGGATACCTCCATGCAGTATTCTTCACTCTTCAAAACATACCGGATACAAACTAACTTTAATATCTCTTCAGCGTTTACGTCATCTGAGTTATAAAATGCGTGATTTCGCACTAATGTATCTTTGCGAGTCCTAAACATTTGTTCAAAGTTTAGTAAAGGGAAATCTTTTCTTGTATTCTGCATTACATTTAACTAGAATAACGTCTTCATTTGTTAAGTTTTTACTCTGTTTTCCTTTGTATTAGGAAAAGCCCTATATGATGTATAAAGGAAAAACATTACCTGGTCAGCCAAAGTCGACAGATCCTAAAGACTGGGAAGGATTTTGCATTAGTTTATTAAATTATATCAGTGAAGACTTGCAATTCACATACACAATTAATTTGGTCCCAGATTCAACATATGGTAATATGAAAATTGTTGACGGTGTTGAGACATGGGATGGAATGGTGCAAGAACTACGAACTCGGGTGAGATATGATTGGATATCTGTAGATTTCATATATAGTGCTTTTTTGTGCAAATGAAAGTAATGAATTGCGAAATGAGTTTGGGATTTTCCCCAGAAGTAATGACAGCATATTGTTTGATTTTTGGAAAGCAACATAAATATAAAAAGATTAGAGTATTTTGATTATCTCGACAAATAAGAGTCACCACTGATCATATTGAATGACGTTTGTGATAGGTCATGAATGAGCAGGAATGGAAAGTGTGTAACAGTGGATTCAGTAGCTGGATGGTAACCTTCTTGATGCTATGTCCTACCGTCTTTGGGGTGGATCCAGTAGTTAGTCATGGGTAAGCACTACCTAGGGGTACTAAAAGTAGACAACTCTCTATTGCTTCTTGGTTCTCAACATTTCTCTAGTCGACATCAATCTTCGTTGAGAACTACTTTCAAACCAATCGGTCAGTCATTGAAAATCGCCAAATGAGTTTGGTTTAGGCCCTCAATAGAGCCGTAGTTGCTCTCTTGATTCGGAAACATAGCTCGACTCGAAAATATCTAGGTTATTTGGAAGTCAGTGCTTAAGGCAAAGCAGAGATTTTCTTATCCTCTAATTGGTGATTTGGTACACTGATTATACTGAAGATTCCTTTTATTGAAAACGATTTTGTAGGACGGATATGCTATCAGTGATTGAGAAGTGCAATTCCTTTGAAAATGGTTTTTGAAACGACTAGTGCCTTTGATGAATTCGCATAATGTAACAAGTAAGAAGACAGAAATTATTCGAGAGATGTGGTGTATTTTTTCGAAATTTTATTATGCAAATACATGCCATTTATCAGATACCCTCCATCTTCTTTTTACATTACGGAAATGGTTTCACGGATTAAAGTGCATCAGTAGTGAGTTATTGAATCGTATCACTAATGTAGGCGGAACAGGAGTAAAAAGAAAAGAACTGGGTATTTGCATATTTCTTCTATTTCAACGTTTACAATCATCGAATATTGCACTTTTAACACTGAAAAACAGGCCCACATGAACACTATTTGACCACATAGCCTTTCAGAATAACTTTGACATGTGAAGTTAAATGTTACGATAAAATAATGATTTACTCTTGCAGTTTTTCCAATAATGAACAAATTAGGTGATATTTCTCTCCGTTTTTAATTTTTCAAAAATTTTGAACGTCAATTAGCTTTGTTTTCGAAGGTTTATTGTAAATTTTAAAGTAATTTATTCTCATACTCACCACAGAGGCTACATTCAGTTGATGTCTGTGACGAGTGGTGAAATCCTCTTTGGAGTAGTAGTTTAACCAATTGGGTATTTCAAAATAAAAGTTTAATTTCGACATAATAACCATCAGGGACTGACATTTGTTGAAGAATCATTGAAAATCTGGGATCACTGGACTCATCTTTTGTCTTAGCGTGAAACACCCTAACAGTAATCATTAACGACCCTTCCCCATGGACCGATGGCAGGGTCGTTAGGTCTCGTGTGTAGCACGTCACCACTGAGTCACTGAGTCTTGATCCAACGGCCCACATTCTTCAATTTCTGTCAATATCCCATCAACACAGCGGGACCATTGTTCAGTACCATGGGTAAGTATTTGTCACCATGCGCGTATTGGCTGACCCCGCAGTCATATCTCATAGGGTCTTAGTGAGATGTATCTCGAAACATCCCGATAAGGAGTAGTAGACAGTAATTCAGTTTACGGACCTTCAGGGATTGACTAATTTTAAGGCAGTGTTCGTCACAAATCTAAAACCAGTCGGGGAACCATACTGACACGAAACAGCTGTCCGGTGTTCCCAGATTTTCGATGGTTCCCTAACTGATGAAGAATACTGCCCTGAAATCAGTCGGTCAGTCTTCATAGAACGCCAAACAAAAACCTTAACTCTCGGGAGCATTTGCATAGAATATAGTGTTGCGCAGCTTTGGTTTTGTTTCTAACCCATAATACGCCATACAGAGTGCTGTATACAAATAAATAATCCCTGCTTTTCAAAGAGCTTCATTGTGAGGTGCTGCAACCTACTTGTTCCCGAAACTTCATATGCGACATGTTGACATGACTATTTCTAAGACGACTCATCTGAAAATGATTTTTCCTGAAATAATTTAACTACCTTTGCTGAGTTCATATTTCATTTGTTTTAGCGTGCTGACTTAGCTGTTGGATCATTTACTATCACTTATGATCGTGAACGTGTTATCGATTTCACAACACCATTCATGTACTTGGGGATAAGTATTATCTACAAACGCCCAGAAGACAAAGAATCACATCTTTTTTCTTTTTTAACGCCTCTTTCACCGCCGGTATGTTTTCAACTTGAATAAATAATATTGTCTTCTTAAGACATTTTTAGTCAACAAATATACTTTGAGTGAATTTTTTAAACGAAGTACCTAATTTGTTGGTATAGGGAGTGGTTAAAACAAAAGCACTGTAGTGGCTCGTTTATGTACTTTACTAAACGTTATCAAATCGGGGCGAAACAGTTCAGTGTATAGGCTTTTCAGTAGTTTTTCAGTTGAGTACGGTTAATGACTCAAGTTAGTCAACTTACGGAAGCCGTCAAATCATATACCGACAGTGATGCACATAACTGCAATGAAAAGTGTACTTCACAGGTAGTCCCAATAGCCTTGAGTAACAGATTGAACAATTTGTTCATCTAGACCTTTGCGCCTAATTCCAGTTTAATTTAACGACTAACCATTGTGACTACGTTCAGAAACACAGTCCTCCTGTGATAATCCTGCTGATAGAAAATGTACAGTTTAATCATACTCAATTGCATTATTTAGTGTGATAGCGTCATTTGTTTTGTTTCTAGAATTTTCGGTCCGCAGAAATATTATGTAAGACAGTTGAAATAGTTATTGCTTTATTGTTTCAAAGAATAAAAGAACAAAAGAAGACTTGTGAAATTTTAAATTAAGTTGCAGTGACTCACAGCTAATTTGCGTGATAAGTATTATTAAAATCCACATTCTTACCTGTATAAAGTCAAAATCCTTGATATATCGTGATAATTGCTTCTGTGTGAATTTATTCTGAACAAGATTTCTGTATTATGGTCAAAATTTGTTCATACCACACGTATAGGGTGGTAAAATTATTGGAAATTTTCTAACGGAAGACATAAAGGGTTTTATTGTTGGTGGTACTATTAACTTTGGCTGAGTCCTGCTCCACTAAGACAGTGTCAGCAGTAGGAATTCACTGTTAAAGCTGAAGTTTAAGAACAGAATGTCATATGATGATGGTGACGGTCCCGAGTTTTCTAGCTATCTTAATGAAACTTTTACCGAAGTGAAACATGCTATCTATGACTGAACTCAGTCGTAGGATTCGAAAAGACATTTTAAGCAATCCACTTATTTGTTCCAGCCATTAGGTCAGTACGAAAAATGAAAACGTTGTAGTCGATGGGTCTCGATTAAAACAAATGTCAATGATATTACTTTGTCATATACATTCAGTGCCTCAAAGTATGAATTAAAATTAAACTATGCAATGATATTTCGATTTCATTTGTAATGTTACGTAGGCTGGTAGGTTTACTTATTTGGGAAGAGAACGGCGGGTGCAAGAACAACGTACTATCCTTTAGTTGTGCTACGAACACGATCACGGCTTCGGAATTCGTATTCAAATATTTGTCAAAATAGTGTATTAACGGAAGTGTGCTATGAATCAAAGAAGTTGGTGGCAGAGTTTGAACTTCCTTACAAGATATAAACATCTTCAGCGGAGTATGCCATTTCAGTAGAACACCTATTTATCATCTTATGACTAGTATTTACAACATTTTTCTGCTGGTTCTGTTCTTCTTATAGCATGAATTTATCTGAGCAAAACCTTCGACATCCATCTAAGCATTCTCACTGCAGCACTCACAAACTGAGTTGGAATTACGTATTGCCAACCTCAAAACTGCTTCAGCGGTCCTTTTTAATTAGTGATATAGTGGTGAGAAGAGGATCAGTCTGATTGTAAAGTAAATCATTAATTATTGACATTCAATAAACTCTAAAACGCTCAAACCGATTTGTAAAATAACCCGTTATCACAGATTTTATGTTGATCGTCTTTCTGAATGAGTAAAACTTGGGTCACTGGTTGAGTTTTCGTGAACAGTAATCATTCCGCCAATTTATCCCAAAAAAACTAATTTTTTGAGTCAACGGTTTAAATGAATACAACTGACTCCTGTTTTCATATATATTTATTTAATTCTGACTAGGTTTGGGGCTATATCTTAGCAGCGCTAATCATGGTTAGCTTAGTATTGTTTGTTGTGGCAAGATTTAGTCCATACGAGTGGAAAGTGAAACATCCGTGTAATGTGGACTCTGAAGTTGTTGAAAACAATTTTAATGTGTCCAACAGTCTTTGGTTCACATTCGGTTCATTAATGCAGAAAGGTAAGTTGTTTGTTGTTGAATTGACAAGAACGACATGCTCATTTCCAGGGAACGAAAACTATATCGTTTAAAAATTTAATTAGGCAAATAATTTTCCACGAGAATATTTAATCTAAGACTAACCATGGTCTTATTTTAATGCTTTACTGACTAAAGTTTCGTGGTGATGAATGTCATTTGTAAAAGAGATATACTTCCAGATCCATAAGCTCTTTGACAGAATAATAAAAGTATTCATTTGGACAGTCATACAACAAAATTTACGATACCTATGGTTCTCACCTTCTTAAATTATCAGATAATATGCAAATATTTGCTGAATAATAGTACTTATTACTTGCATGTTTTAATCTATGTAGTTGTTAGACAGTCTGATTTCCATGAGTTCACTGTATGATCCGTTCTCATATCTGTCTTAGTTCTGCAATCTATGTTTAAAATGAAGTGTTACGTAAATTCGCACAAGTTTTTTTCAATACAATCAATCACGTGTCATATAAGTGTAAATATTTAAAAATGTTTTCATAGGCACTGTTGAAAAAATATTTTTGAACAGAATTAGCACTCTTCGGAAGGCAGGAATCGAATAAGATAATGATATCTTACTGTCACTTTGTAGATTATTCAGAGTTGAAGTCTTCAGTGTTGTTAAATTTCTTACTGTCTTATCTTACTCCTTTAAAGTCAATATACATTGTATACATTATGAGATCATTATGTGATCTGTAGGCAACTATACAAGTATCAAACATTTTTGTGAACGTCCAAAAAATGCTGCGGAATAAATCTCATCACTAAGATAGACAACTGGCTTACTACGCTATATCGGGTACTTCCAAAAGCAATCCGTGTTCAATTGAGATGATAATCTACAGAGTTGTAGACATATGTTTAGACGAATATATTATCATAGATCACAAGAGCAGTCTAGGTTAAATGAAACGGAGAAATGGAGATCATTAAAGTAAAAAAAGTAATGTCTGCTGGATTTTGATTAGTTGGAACTACTTGTAACTGATGTGTTCTGCTAAAAACTTTGATTATTTGGCTAGAAGCTATAAGTTACAGTAATGAAATTTGGCCCCTAGTATTTAACAGTCATTTCATTTCAAAACATTAATGTAGTAATTCATTAGTTAAATAGTTCATGTGTTGCTACAACCTTTAATTCTGCCGTAAATAGGAAATTTGATGACAGTAACTAATCACGGATTTGGTAAGCAAAGCCTAAGGAAAATCTGGGTCAGCATAATTTCTGGATTACCAACCAGGTACTTTGTTTCAATCACCATTACCGTACATCATAGGCAGTTTGCTGATAGAGGTTATCTTAAGCAGTTCAGCCAAAATAATAATCTCTGTTCTTTCGATTGGGCTAAATTTAAATTAGAAGGGAGGTCACTTTAAAGCTACTGTGATTATGATTACGACTGAAACTCAGAAAATCTCCCAACAACAAAAGAAAGTAGAGATCTGATAGGGACCGACTTCAAAAAACCTCTTGTGTGCATTATTATCGAGCAATCTTGTCATGTAGTGAAGTAACTAGTTACCAGCTTATAACTCTCAATAGCTGTTTAACTAAGGATAATAGTCATTTGGAAGTTAGGAATTCGGTCAGAAGCCGAAATAAACTTTGTCTTAATACTGGGCGAACAGAAGCAATGGATACGAGATTTTACTTGATCTATCTCTTCCTTTTATTTTTCTGTCAGTTCTGTGTCTCACAGTTTTCATAGGATTTATGGTATGCTATCAACTGAAATACGCATCTTATAGCATTGTGGTCTAAAACGTTGCCAGGGAACGATATCAAATATGATCCCAACAGTGCTTCAAACATCCAAAAAGGAATAACATCCTACACGATAAACTGGATAACTATTTTGAAAAGTTTGTTGATGCATTCGGACATGACACTAGTTGTCATTCCGTAGGTCATAGTCGAGCATACTGTCCTCTCTTTTTGACAAGCTGAAGGTGATAATCATCAAGTGTTTCTTTTTTCGCCCACAGGTTCAGACATTTTACCTCATGCCACATCAACTCGCATTATAGCTGGATTTTGGTGGTTTTTTACACTCATCGTCATCTCGTCGTATACAGCTAACTTAGCTGCTTTCCTCACTGTGGCACGAATGGTTGCACCGATTGAAAATGCCGAAGATTTGGCTAAGCAAACAAAAATTAAATATGGCTCTATACAGGGTGGTTCAACTACAGCATTTTTTGAGGTCAGTTTCACTGATGCCTACATGATTCCGTGAGGCTAATTTATCTCAGTATTACAAACAATTTGTCTAGCACAGGTCACCTTATACTAAGTGAATGAAAAATGGAATTTCGTAATACTACTACATTAAGACAGTGATAGCCAACAGGATTGTAGTAGTCACAGGACATTAAATTAGATTAATAATAAAACGTATCAGGTAATTTTATATGATTCCTGATTCTTTTGCTCACTTCTTCAATAAACTGTCAACCATCCGTTGGAGGCTTTGTTGTCACACTAACCTTCATTAAAAGATAGACTATAAACAGTTATTGATTTAGATTTACTCCCACTGCCACGGTCGAAGTATTAACCAGATCAGTTGTTTGAAATCGAAAAGTTCTTGAACTCATATCAACTTTCAAAATAAGTTATCAGTTAGTGAGATCCACCATATCTCAACAACTGTGTCTAACAGTCAAACAAGTATTTTATGATAATCAGGACTTTCTGTTCTAATCTAAACACAAGTGTAAGGGCCTATAAAAAGTACTCATTAGGAATGTTAGCAGCCAGTGGCGTCCATCAAGAATGGGAACTCTTAACAATTTTGTTTGACCTTTTTACAATTGTATTGATAGGGCTACTGAATTAAAGCTTGAAGATTCCCTCAACAAAACAAACATTTTTACACTCACCTGTCGTAGAAATCTTACCCCTTTTGTAGGTATTTCTTACCCTTCTGACATAAAAACATATTTAAGGACTGGGTGGCAACAAATTGTCGTTTATGGATTAGGAAAACATAAGGGAATGGGATGAATATCTCACTTCATGCATAAGTTGCCTCAGATTTAACGGAGTGCTTCATGACGAAGTGTCAGTCTCCATAAAACGGACCACTTTGTGAACTAATCAACTTATGTCATCTTTGAATAAAAGTGTATGATAAAATGCAGCAGAAAGCGTAACTTGTTCAGTATAAGTACTGGTAAGACTTTGTTCGAATGAAGCAAAATTTGTCCATATAAAATAAAATAAGGACCTAAAAAAGATCAGGCTATTGTTTAGCGCCCAGTACGGTGGATTAAAGTTTATTTCGAAAGGTTAGAAAAAAGCGGAGAAAGACAGATGCTGGCGTGAAAAACCAAAGTAGAAAAATAAAATGTACTAAATCTCTATAATAACCTCCTCCGATTAACTAATTCAGTAGCTACTAGCCGGGCCGAAGCCCGGATAAAGAGGGAAGGTTGGGTATAGGGCTAGCAACCCTACCCCGTAAAACAAATCTAACCGCTGAAGAAACTTCAAAGCACAAACAAAATATAAAAAGTAAGAACAAACTTATTCCTAGCTGGAATCGGAGAGACAAAATGACGCCGGTTGATGAAAGCCTTCGGGAAGCCAGTCGGCCGATGTGTCTTCTCTCTCTCAATGAAAACGAGAGTAAATGTGGGGACATAGAATGTCCGCACCATGCATGAACCTATCAAAGCTGCTCAGATTTCCAAAGAGATGAGGAGGTATGGCATGCAAGTGCTTGGAATCTGTGAAAGCAGATGGAATGGAAGTGGAATCTCCAAACCGTCAACTGGAGAATCAATAATCTACTCCGATATTGTCACCCAGACGACAACCACGAGCACACTGAGTTTTGGAGTGGTTATCATGATGTCCTCAAGAACATCGAAGGCTCTCCTGCAGTGGGAACCAATCTCCTCCAGCATCAGGATCATGACACCAAGATTCAACTCAAAAGGAATGAAAGTCACAATCATACAATGCTACCCAGTGCACTTACAAATAATGCGAATCAAGAGAAGAAGAAGGAATTCAACAGACAACTGCAATCAGTAATGGACAAGACGACAATCCAGTTGGTGACATCAAAATTCTAATAGATGACATGAATGCCAAATTGGGAGCGGACAACACAGGAAGAGAACTCATCATGTGTCGAGAAGCACTCGGTGAAATGATGAATGAGAATGGAGAACTGTTTGCAGATTTCTGTGTATTCAACGATTTGGTGATTGGAGGCGAGGCAGTGTGTACAAACACAAGGATATTCACAAAGCGACATGGATTTCACCAGACACCAGGACACACTAGAAATCAGATCGACTTCATCTCAATGCGAAGAAAGTGGAGACGCAGCCTACTTGACACGAGATCAAGAAGGGGAGCAGATTTAGCTTCACACCACTCACTATCTAGTGCAAGGAACCTTCCAAATCAAGTTGAAGACCTTCAAAGAAGTTGATGATAGACCACAGTCCAAGTTCAACACCCAGAACAGAAACTGAAGGATGAAACTACAAAGGACATCTTCACGTCAAACATCGGAACAAAATGGGGGACATTGAGCAGCATCCCTGAAGGATCGGGCGTGGAAGAACACTGGAACTCTTTGAAAGCTATGTGGAAAGAAACCTGCATAACCGCATTAGGAAGGAAAAAGAAACAAGACAATACAAGGAATGGATCTCGACGGACACATGGGAGCTGATAGAGGAGAGGAGGATGGTGAAGCAGAAGATGAAGCAGTGCAAGGATGCACAACGAGAAGAGGAACTGAGTGCAACGTATAAAACACTACACTGGACAAAGAAGTGAAGAAGAGTGTGCGTGCAAAGACAAAAGACACTTCAACGACACACTTGAAAGTGAAGCAGAACAGGCTGCTGGTAGGAGACACCTGACAACATTATATCAAATAACCAGGTCACTATCCGGAAGAGGTCAACTCAGACGAGACCAATGAAAGATAGTGAAGGAAAGCTAGTTACCAAAGAAGAGAAACAAAGGAAACGATGGGCTGACCATTTCAAAAAGCTCTTGAATCGACCACCACCAACACCTGCAACTCGTCCAGAAATACCACCAGCAGCCCAGCCATTGAACTGTCAGTGAACACAAACACTCCGACAAAAGTGGAAGTCCTGAATGCCAGAAAGCTACTGAAATGTGGGAAAGCAGCAGGACCAGATGGAATTTGTCCTGAAGCACTGAGAACAGGCTCAGAGACAACAGCGAACATGCTCACACCACTACTGCAGAAGGTTTGCAAGGAAGGAAGGGAAGGTACCTGCTGATTGATTGGAAGAAGGGCTACCTCGTCAAACTCCCGAAGGAGGGAGACCTCAGTGTTTGCAAGAACTTGCGAGGAATCATGCTGCTGTCCACCCCCAAGCAAATTATGATGCCACATCATCCTGGAGAGACTACAAGATGCACTGGATTCAAAACTACGACCGGAACAGGCTGGCTGGCTGGCTGGCTTGCTGGCTGGCTGACTGGCTTCGGGAGGAACAAATCATGTGTGGATGAAATTGCAACGCTATGCTACGCATCATCATAGAACAGAGTATAGAATGGCAGTCAACTCTCTACCTCAACTTCATCGACTTTGAGAAGGCCTTCGACAGCGCCGACCGAGAAGTAATTCGGAAACTGCTTCAACACTGTGGTGTGCCACTAATCTTTATCAACCTCATTCAACAGCTATGTGAAGACGCCACATGCCAAGTGATCCACAATGGAAAGCTCATTGACGCCTTTGAAGTGAAGACAGGAGTGAAACAAGGCTGCCTACTATCACCCATGACATTCTTGATTGTGTTCGACTGGACTGGATCATGCAGCAAACCGTGAGGAGCGAGAAGATGGACATACGCTGGCTGGACCGATGAAAAGACCTCAGAAAAAGATTTGGATTCCGCCCTCGATGATGATTTATGTCCAATGTCTTGTCGCACAAACTCGAAGATCTACAGGCGAAGACTAACAAGTTGACCGAAGAGGCAGCGAAGACGGGACTTCAAGTGAATGTGGAGAAGACAGAGGTGATGAAGATACCAACCAACAACAACAGCATCAACAACAAGCACCAATCACCATTAACGGGAGAAACCTAAAGGAAGTAGTCTCTTTCACCTACATACCTAGGCAGCAGTCTTTCATCTACCTGGGCAGCATCTTTCAACTGCAGAGGGCGGCACAGACGAGAATGTCATGACCAGGATCGGAAAACCAGCAAGACAGGCTTTCATCAATCTGAAATCAGTGTGGAGATCTGCTGCACTCAGTATAAAGCATGAATAAGATCCAGATTTTCAACACCAACGTCAGTCAAGTCAGTGTTTCTGTATGGCTCAGAGACTTGGCGTGTCACGAAAAGCACTTCCAACAAGCTACAGACATTCATCAAGAGCTGCCTACGCTCGATACTGAAGATCAGATGGATGGGCAGAGAGAACAAGCAACAAGGACCTCTGACTGGCAACGAACCAACCAACAACCCATCGCCCAACAAATATGCAGAAGAAAGTGTAGATGAGTTGGATTGGGGATACACTGAGAAGGCCGACTGGGGACATCACACACTAGGGCAGACCGTCGAGTGGAATCCAAAGGGGAAGCGACGAGTTGGGCGTCTGAGGTGAGGGTGACATGGAGGAGATCGTGTGAGGAGGAAATGAGAGCTTGTGGGCAGTCGTTGCGCCAGGTTGAAAAGACTGCAGAGAAGAGAGTGGAATGGAGGCATGCTACTGAATCTTTTTGTTCCACTTGGAATACAAGGGATAAGCAGTATAATAATTATTGTTATGATTTGTGGTCGAAAATGCAATGCTCATTTCTGGGTTAATCCATTTGGTTTCTTTTATTGGCTTTTCGTGCTTTCTTGTAAAGAAAATCTGTTAATTTTGGCACAACCATTTCTGTATATGGTTCCACATGAATTGGCCTAGCTGTTTACACTTGAAGCATGGTTTTTCTTATCACAACCAGTGTTGTAGCTTAACTTAATGCTCAGCATTTAGTCAGCAAGTAGATACATGAATGTCATATTGAGAAATGCGCTATGATAGATGCTGACTTCATTTTCCGCGTTTTTTGTATTCACTTTGGCACTTGATACATGCTCCATCTAACACTTTTATTTCTTCTGGTGTTTGTCAATGATCTCAGTGGAAGTGCGATCCAGTTCTATTATACTATTTCGACACTAAGGATACCAAGTACGTACCACATTCTGAATTCTCCTCATCTGAAACAAAAATGACTTTGCATAGTATCTCCATTCATTATGTCCGTACCCATTAATTACTTACCAGATGTCATTGCTAGGTTTGTGTATTGTGTGTTAGCTTACCGTAAATTAAAGCTTTAATTTGTAAACAGCTTGATTCTTTCATCTCAAGTTGGGAAAGTGACCAGTAACTAGTTTTTGTTTCTATAATTTGAACTTATATGTCTGTTTCATAAATATTATGCCATGTTTTTCATCGGAAGTACTTTCCAACTTATATGCCAAAGAATAAAAGTGAAATTCTCTCGAGGGTATTTGATTAGGTTTGTACAGAGTTAAGATTCTAACGTGTAGGTTTAAAATGTTCATCATAATCTTAAATGAATGCAAAAAATTTTCAGCTGTCCTGAAAATATTACAAGTAGCTTCATAGTAAAGTGGAGCTACGCCTTAGTGAAAGCTGATAATGTGTTTGCTTTTATCACTCCACAGTTGACATCGTCATCACCAAATGTGAAATCCAGTTGTTTCTGAAAACATTATTAGGTCGACTTGATATATTCAGTTTATTTCACTCTCAAGGTAACTGGTAGCAACCAAGCTATACCAGGTTATAGGTAGTACACTTTCATACTCTGAGTGGACTACAATCGTGGCTTTTGTTCTGAAAAGAAGACCACTGATGGGAATGCAACTGATTACCTTCAGGTTTCATATGTGAACGAGAATCCAGGTATAAACAATTCATCGTAAAAAAGAAAATTCCTCTGTAGATTTTAAGTACATTTCATCTTCTGATGTAGTATCTCGTTGAGCTGATTCGTATTAACTGAACTCATGCGTTCGATAGAATTCATGCATAACTGGTTTCATTTGACCTTTTGCTTTTTCACTTATCGTAGCCATGGCCTAATGCTTACAGAAAATCGCCAGTTTCTGAACAAATCGTTCTTGCAAAAAAAAATGGATTGTAATTGAAAATTAACACTTATCTTAAAGTGCTCATATACAGAACCATGAGGTGATCATTTCTCATACAGGTGTCGCTGATTTTGAATAAATATAGGTTATTAATTAAACCATATGAGTCGGCATTTCAGTACCGTGTTAGAACTACCGGACTTCAAGATTGCCAGTCCATTGCTCTAGTGATTGAGCTGTGAGATTCATTCGCATATTATGAGCATTTGAAAAACGTAGTGAGAAGATGGAGATTATCTGAAGTATGCGTTGTATTAGCGGTATAAATTTCGAGCAGTCCGATCACATATGAACTTGTCGAATGACTTATATAAAACTTAGAAAGGTTAATTAAGCCAATGGAATCATAATTAAGAAATATAACAAGAGCTGAACAAAATCAAGAGAGGAGAAAAATAATAAAAGGTCAAATCACCACCACCAATAATTTAAAGATTTGAACAGTGTAAGTACAAATTGTTTCTGAATACAAAGAGGGGGGCTAGATTTATGGATAGCAAGTACTTCGATAAATCTAAGTATTCGTCCTTGACCATATCTGTACATTAAAGTAAAGGCTGTCTTCATATCAATCTTATGACCAGTTTCTACTATGTGTTTTGCTATCGATGAGGAAGGACGTTTATCACCTGCACTTATTAAACTGTTAGAGGTCATTCGTTTGTGGAGCTATTTCGGTACATGTTCAACCATTCTTAACTGAGCATTGTTTTACATAGACCAGTAACTTCTTTGGCGACGCTCTCCTCACCTGTCTACAAGGACTTCACCTTGTTTCATTTTATAGGAATCCAACTTTTCCACCTATAAGCGAATGTGGCAGTTTATGAGTTCACAGAAAGGACTATTAATGAATAATACACTGGAAGCAATACAACGTGTTAAACGAGAAGAATATGCTTTTCTACTTGAATCAACAATGAATGAATACTATACACAACGTGACTGTGAATTAATGCAAGTTGGAGGACTGTTAGATTCAAAAGGCTATGGAATAGGATTACCAGAAGGTGAGATGGTCATTTTAATTCTAATTTTTACCATAAAACTTGAATGAGACATATCATAAGTTGTGTATAGTAATCATACTACTTTATTGCTTAAAAGTTATGTAGTAATCAAGAATAAAATCATGCAGTTCGAAATGATCATGCACGAGTGAGGCAAAATATATTTTGTGCCATTCACAAAACATATATTTGTAGTTTGAAAAAACTAGCAAAGCGTTTTCTGCAGAATATGTCCTCTTTCTTTATGCGAAGTACACAGAATCTTTATGAACAGAGTTATGGGATTGTCTAATGAATACTCTTGAAGTAAGTGGAAACAACTCAGGCGAATCAGTAATGCTCTTCAAAACGGCTCAGCTGACTTAAATGTCCTATAGTTGCACTCGTTTGTATCAATTGCAGAATGAACTTAGAATCTTGCAATTATTTTTTCAACCATCAATGAACGAAGTACTTTAGGAAGCCACATACATTTATGCTTACTTCATTGTGTCAGCTAAATAACTCATATAAGATTGTGAAGTGCGTTCAAATATAAGGAGGGGATTAAATGTTCAGATGTTGTGGAGAGGTATGTAGCCGCTCATCAACATGTGGTTATAAGAGTCACTACAAGAGATATGAAAACCTCTACAATGCTGATCCTAACTTCTCTTACTGCTCCTGTAGTTTCCCGTTGCTTTCATTTCTAATTCACTTTGAATGATATGCAAACAGTGACCATCGTCCAACCAAACTAAGTATTTCACTTAATACGAAAGTTTAGAAGACGCTAAGTCTGTGACATCATTCATCTTCAAAAGTGAAGACTAACATAAAAAAAGTTCTACAATCACTAAATTCCATCGATAGATTTTTCTTTCTCACACATCTCAACAAATGTAGCATGCGCAGGAGTAAAGCGCGAAACAAACCAGTGCTTCAAAAAGAGACATAATATAGCATAAGTGAGATGAGAAACGAAAAGCAAATTTCGCGCCTATAAAGACTAATTATTTCATCGTAGCGTTTCTAGTGGAACAAAAAGATTCAGTAGCATGCCTCCATTCCACTCTCTTCTCTGCAGTCTTTTCAACCTGGCGCAACGACTGCCCACAAGCTCTCATTTCCTCCTCACACGATCTCCTCCATGTCACCCTCACCTCAGACGCCCAACTCGTCGCTTCCCCTTTGGATTCCACTCGACGGTCTGCCCTAGTGTGTGATGTCCCCAGTCGGCCTTCTCAGTGTATCCCCAATCCAACTCATCTACACTTTCTTCTGCATATTTGTTGGGCGATGGGTTGTTGGTTGGTTCGTTGCCAGTCAGAGGTCCTTGTTGCTTGTTCTCTCTGCCCATCCATCTGATCTTCAGTATCGAGCGTAGGCAGCTCTTGATGAATGTCTGTAGCTTGTTGGAAGTGCTTTTCGTGACACGCCAAGTCTCTGAGCCATACAGAAACACTGACTTGACTGACGTTGGTGTTGAAAATCTGGATCTTATTCATGCTTTATACTGAGTGCAGCAGATCTCCACACTGATTTCAGATTGATGAAAGCCTGTCTTGCTGGTTTTCCGATCCTGGTCATGACATTCTCGTCTGTGCCGCCCTCTGCAGTTGAAAGTATGCTGCCCAGGTAGATGAAAGACTGCTGCCTAGGTATGTAGGTGAAAGAGACTACTTCCTTTAGGTTTCTCCCGTTAATGGTGATTGGTGCTTGTTGTTGATGCTGTTGTTGTTTTGGTATCTTCATCACCTCTGTCTTCTCCGCATTCACTTGAAGTCCCGTCTTCGCTGCCTCTTCGGTCAACTTGTTAGTCTTCGCCTGTAGATCTTCGAGTTTGTGCGACAAGACATTGGACATAAATCATCATCGAGGGCGGAATCCAAATCTTTTTCTGAGGTCTTTTCATCGGTCCAGCCAGCGTATGTCCATCTTCTCGCTCCTCACGGTTTGCTGCATGATCCAGTCCAGTCGAACACAATCAAGAATGTCATGGGTGATAGTAGGCAGCCTTGTTTCACTCCTGTCTTCACTTCAAAGGCGTCAATGAGCTTTCCATTGTGGATCACTTGGCATGTGGCGTCTTCACATAGCTGTTGAATGAGGTTGATAAAGATTAGTGGCACACAACAGTGTTGAAGCAGTTTCCGAATTACTTCTCGGTCGGCGCTGTCGAAGGCCTTCTCAAAGTCGATGAAGTTGAGGTAGAGAGTTGACTGCCATTCTATACTCTGTTCTATGATGATGCGTAGCATAGCGTTGCAATTTCATCCACACATGATTTGTTCCTCCCGAAGCCAGTCAGCCAGCCAGCAAGCCAGCCAGCCAGCCAGCCTGTTACGGTCGTAGTTTTGAATCCAGTGCATCTTGTAGTCTCTCCAGGATGATGTGGCATCATAATTTGCTTGGGGGTGGACAGCAGCATGATTCCTCGCAAGTTCTTGCAAACACTGAGGTCTCCCTCCTTCGGGAGTTTGACGAGGTAGCCCTTCTTCCAATCAATCAGCAGGTACCTTCCCTTCCTTCCTTGCAAACCTTCTGCAGTAGTGGTGTGAGCATGTTCGCTGTTGTCTCTGAGCCTGTTCTCAGTGCTTCAGGACAAATTCCATCTGGTCCTGCTGCTTTCCCACATTTCAGTAGCTTTCTGGCATTCAGGACTTCCACTTTTGTCGGAGTGTTTGTGTTCACTGACAGTTCAATGGCTGGGCTGCTGGTGGTATTTCTGGACGAGTTGCAGGTGTTGGTGGTGGTCGATTCAAGAGCTTTTTGAAATGGTCAGCCCATCGTTTCCTTTGTTTCTCTTCTTTGGTAACTAGCTTTCCTTCACTATCTTTCATTGGTCTCGTCTGAGTTGACCTCTTCCGGATAGTGACCTGGTTATTTGATATAATGTTGTCAGGTGTCTCCTACCAGCAGCCTGTTCTGCTTCACTTTCAAGTGTGTCGTTGAAGTGTCTTTTGTCTTTGCACGCACACTCTTCTTCACTTCGTAGTCCAATTTTACTTTTAATGTTTCAAGAATGCTATATTTGTTACTTTTCTTTTAATCAGGGTTTTGTTTACTTTTCATTTTTTAGGGATGACTGGGTTATCTATTTAAACACAGAATATTATAAGGGGTAATTGGTTGCAACTTTGTATTTTGCGTTTTACGTAAACTAATAGCCCCCAGTTTGCTCTGAAACCAATGTAAAACAGACGCAGAAGGATGCCTGTAATTGTTTAAAATGACTTAACTTTAGGCGCCGCGTTACGGTTGTGAATAAGAAAGTGATTTTATTGACCTTAAATAAATATTGTTTTATTCTCATAGAATTAGTGTACTTTCAGTTATCACACTACTAAAACTGGGCAGAATCTTCATATATATTAAGCGGATTAAATCTTCATATTTTCAACGATTAATACAAAATAAAATGTAGCTTGATAAAAGATTTCAATTTACTCTTCGTAAGTTTTTGGCCTAGTACTATATTCCCCTAAGTGTCTAGCTAAATACCTGGTGAGTAGAGGATATTATCATTATTAATGACAATTTTTAGAATGGATCAAAGTAATCTCTCATTCTTAAGCTTAAAATATTTTCAAAGAAATTTTCAAGTAGACTGTTGGATAATCCACATTAAAAGCACATTTCAACATGCCATACTTTCTGTATAGCCTTGAAAATGTTTGGCTTTCAAAATTATTGCTGAACTAGAAAAACCTTTACGAATTTTACTACTTTATTGAATGTCAATTCCACTGAAGTAGGCCAAAAATGTGATGTCAATTTTAATCAGGCTGAAACAGGAATAGATATGAACAACATATTAATCAAGTCACGAAAACTTCTGATAATTAATGAATGCGATTTATGAACTAATGAAATAGTTATGTATGGAGGGAAATGTCATTTCTTTTGACTGGTAGACAGGAATTGACAAAATAAAAATTTAGACAGGCTTTGACATCATTATGATTGTGGTGTTATTTTCTCCGAACTGGATGGTTTTATCAAGAGGCTTTTATTCTCATTCTGACTTTCTTGAAGCTGATGATGGAGCCTAGAATCAAATGCAAGCTCCTTAGTTAGACCATCTGGCTCAGAGAACACAGCACCATTAAAACCATTTTCCTGTGCTTCAAATATTTGTGGTTATCTCAAAATCCTTTGAGTATTAAATGCTTCTCATTATTCGGAAAAATAAGAACTTTGAAAGGAAGCAGGCTGACTCAAAACAGCAACTATATTTTCTCAAGGAGTATCCACATCAGCATTTTCTGCCAACTAGTGTGGGACAGTGACCATCAATTGACTATACACTCGGCTGCAAGATCGTGAAAAGAAATGGAATACATATGATAAAGCTGATGCTCACCAACTCCCGTCATCGCATTCCGAAATACCAACAGACTATCAAAGACTGAAAGGAAAAATTGCAAAGAATAAATGCTCAAAACAAGAAAATTTACATAGTCAGCAGCTGTGATCTAAAAATCAAGCAAGCTTATGTCATTACTTGTTGGATTTTGGATTTCTTGCATCTGTCAGTATGTTTATTGAAACTTTTTCAACATCCCAGTTGCATCGCACGCCTAAAAACAAAATAGAGTTGTTTGTGTGCTGTTTCTAGTGAATTCACTTGTACTTTTCTAAGAAATTTGATTGAAACAGGACATGCTAATGCAGAAATATTCCCAAAGAAGTTAAGCTTAGAGTAAATTAAAAAATCACTACCTTTCTAAAATAGTTTTCAATTCACATGATCATCTAGATTTCGTTCTGCTTTGCGAATCAAATTTCCGCTTTCATTCCTTACATACGTAGCTATTCAAAGTAAATTCCACTTCTGACGAAGTTTTAAAGATTTTCAGAGAAACCAATTTAGATATGGTAGGTTGGCAGTCTTTTCAAATTTTTAGACCAGTTACTTACTCACTAATAAGAAGATATATGGTCAGTATCTCTTGCGACTCTTATTTCACGTAACTCTGCAGATAAATCACCTAACAACTTTGAAGTATTTCTCTTCAAGATGTTTTCATGGATATCACTGTGGTCTGTCTTATTGAATCATTCATGTCAAATCCTGGATTCCAATACATGCAACTGTCCATCATTATTTCCAGACTTTACTCAATTTCCTAATTAGGATTACCTATTTTTACTTTCAATTTAAAAAATATATCTGGCTAGTCAGTTGGTCAACTGTTCCCATTTCGCCCACTGGCGACGTCTTCTGAGTATTAATTTCGACTTGCAACTAAAGCACTTCATTTACAGCGTAGTGTCAGACGAGTATTGCGATTAGATTGTATCGTGTGCAACATTTTCAATATTATTACTCTTTACGAGGGTATATTTGTCATCATATATATATATATATATATATATATATATATATATATATTTATGTGTCTTTTCACATTGTTCACCTAAAGGATCAAAGTACAGGGATCCAATTTCTGAAACTATTTTAAAATTGCAAAAGTCTCAAGTATTAGAACAGTTGAAGTTCTATTGGTGGAGAAAGCATGATATTGAAAAACCATGTGACACATCACCAACAAAGAGTTCAGATGCTAATTCCCTAGGTGTTGAAAAAGTTGGCGGGTGTTTTGTTATGCTACTGATTGGTATGGCTGTATCATTACTTGTTGGCCTATTAGAATTTGTATGCAATGCATATCGTCGTGTAGCAAATAAAAAGGTTAGTTTTAATTCCCCCCCTTCGTGTTGCTCCTTTTGCAACTGTATTGCAAAAGAGTTTTCACCAATTATTATTACCAGTTAAATAAATATAATAAACCTGATTACAATTGGTGGTTATGCTTATCAATAAAAACTTTCTCACAGTGCATTGTATTTCTTCACCATAACGGAATAAAAAATCTTCAGGTCCAGATGTGCATAAGAATCATTTAGGATGAACAAGACTTAGCTTATCATACAAAATAGAAATTCTTGGATCCATAAGCAAAAACTGCTGAAGTGTTCACCATTCAAAGCTTTCCCAAAGATAGAACGAAAAAGATATAGTTCCATATTAGATTTGTTTATTTGATATAAAGCGCACAGTGATACAGTATTATTTAATTGATTACGTTTCGAGCATAAATTATTGCTCATAATCATATCAATGTAATCACACTTCTTTCGACATCTGATTTTATAGTCCTGTCACCTGATCTCTCTTTGTTTTTTTTTTTTTTGATTGGTAGTAAAGTTTTCCATATCTCTGGTATAGGTGTTGCGTCATTCCTATTACATGTGTTGGGTGTGGATTCGATGAACAAAGATTCAGTAATTAATCTCTCTCTCCACCTAGCTATATTAGACTTAAGTACAGTGGTTTTGTCCCATCCTATTGTGTGGTTGTGTGTTAATGAATGTAATGCAATGGCTGAGTGTTTTTCTAGGTTATTGATCTTATTGGGGTCTGCCGTTCTATGTTTAGCTAAATTCCTATGTTCTGTTAATCTAACTGACCCCGACCGGCTAGTTTGACCTATGTATTTGACTTCACAGTCATTACATGGAATTTGGTAGATTATATTATTTTGCTTAATTGGTTCTATCGGATCTTTTAGCCGACAAAGCTTACCTCTAAGTGAGTTTGTTGGTTTAAATGCCACCCTAATTCCAACCTTGTTGAGAATCCTACGTATGGTTTCTGATGTTCCTTCCTTGTATGGTATCACAATAGAGGTGTTGATTTCCTTTCTACTTATGTTGTCACTATTATTTGTATTTGTATTAGTGTTATTATTTTGCTTCTTATGCGTCCGTGTGAATTTCTTAATAAAATGATGGGGATAATTATTATTATTAACGCTTCTTTTATGTGTTTCAATTCCTTATTTAAGTCCTTACAATGACTAGTGAGTTTCTCAGCTCTGTTATTTAGACATTTGACTAAACCCGCTTTAACTGACACTGGATGAGATGACTTGAAGTCTAGATATCTGTTAGAATGTGTTGGTTTTCTGTAGACGGTAGTATCTAAACCACCATCTATCCTTCGTTTTATTCTGCAATCCAACATAGGTAATTCTCCTTGTTCATTTTCTACTTCGTAAGTGAATTCACAGGATTATTAAGAAATTAAGTACCATTCGGAATAAAATTGAACAACTTAAATGTAAAATTATGAAGATAGTAAACTGCAGAGACTATGGATTTATAGTAGAAACATCAGACAAAGCAAGATTAGCTACTTTCAAGAAATCTAGAAGCAATCAAATCAAAAAGTTCAATAAACTAATGCAAGAAAAATATGCTTCGGAAAACAATGAAATTACAAAGGAAACATCATCGAACATCGATAAAACAAAGTGGGTAGTCAATCTCTCCTCGAAAGCCTTAAGCTCAGCTGAGATGAAAGTACTTGAAAAAGGACTAAACTTCAACATAACAGTAGATCATCTAAAACCAGAAGATGTCATACCTAGCATAGAAGTAGCATTAAGCTCGATGGATGTGACAACTGCTGAACAGGTTAGAGCGCAGTGTGCATTAGCACTTAAAAAACAAAAGAAGACACAGCGAAACTTAACGAAACTGGAAAATTCAGCTTTAAACAATCTACGAAAGGATAATAGTATAGTAATTGCTAAATCTGACAAAGGTAACTCAACAGTAGTTATGGACAAATCGGATTATCTTAAAAAAATGGATGAACATATCCAAACAGGGCCATATGAAGAGATTAAGAAACCTATAGATACTGTCATGAATAAAATTAAGAAATCTACAACAGATCTGATACGCCGACTGAAGCCATCTCTAGGTAAGTCCGAATGGTTTACTTTAATGCCAAAAACTAATAATCCTAGCAGAATTTACGGTACTATTAAGGTTCATAAAGCAGGTTATCCCATTAGGCCGATAGTTGACTTCCGAACACACCAACATATGAGATATCAAAGTATTTAGCATCAGTATTACGTCCTGTTAGAGACCGTTCCAACTCTAGACTCGTAAATTCTAACGAGTTGAGACAAAAACTTAATGACCTGCACGTAGAAGACAATGAAAAAATGGTGGAAAAAATGCGTGATATCCCCAGTTGGCCTTCTCAGTGTATCCCCAATCCAACTCATCTACACTTTCTTCTGCATATTTGTTGGGCGATGGGTTGTTGGTTGGTTCGTTGCCAGTCAGAGGTCCTTGTTGCTTGTTCTCTCTGCCCATCCATCTGATCTTCAGTATCGAGCGTAGGCAGCTCTTGATGAATGTCTGTAGCTTGTTGGAAGTGCTTTTCGTGACACGCCAAGTCTCTGAGCCATACAGAAACACTGACTTGACTGACGTTGGTGTTGAAAATCTGGATCTTATTCATGCTTTATACTGAGTGCAGCAGATCTCCACACTGATTTCAGATTGATGAAAGCCTGTCTTGCTGGTTTTCCGATCCTGGTCATGACATTCTCGTCTGTGCCGCCCTCTGCATTTGAAAGGATGCTGCCCAGGTAGATGAAAGACTGCTGCCTAGGTATGTAGGTGAAAGAGGCTACTTCCTTTAGGTTTCTCCCGTTAATGGTGATTGGTGCTTGTTGTTGATGCTGTTGTTGTTGGTTGGGTATCTTCATCACCTCTGTCTTCTCCGCATTCACTTGAAGTCCCGTCTTCGCTGCCTCTTCGGTCAACTTGTTAGTCTTCGCCTGTAGATCTTCGAGTTTGTGCGACAAGACATTGGACATGAATCATCATCGAGGGCGGAATCCAAATCTTTTTCTGAGGTCTTTTCATCGGTCCAGCCAGCGTATGTCCATCTTCTCGCTCCTCACGGTTTGCTGCATGATCCAGTCCAGTCGAACACAATCAAGAATGTCATGGGTGATAGTAGGCAGCCTTGTTTCACTCCTGTCTTCACTTCAAAGGCGTCAATGAGCTTTCCATTGTGGATCACTTGGCATGTGGCGTCTTCACATAGCTGTTGAATGAGGTTGATAAAGATTAGTGGCACACCACAGTGTTGAAGCAGTTTCCGAATTACTTGTCGGTCGGCGCTGTCGAAGGCCTTCTCAAAGTCGATGAAGTTGAGGTAGAGAGTTGACTGCCATTCTATACTCTGTTCTATGATGATGCGTAGCATAGCGTTGCAATTTCATCCACACATGATTTGTTTCGCCTGTTTTGTCTGCTCCCAATTTGGCATTCATGTCATCTATTAGAATTTTGATGTCACCAACTAGATTGTGGTCTTGTCCATTACTGATTGCAGTTGTCTGTTGAATTCCTTCTTCTTCTCTTGATTCGCATTATTTGTAAGTGCACTGGGTAGCATTGTACGATTGTGACTTTCATTCCTTTTGAGTTGAATCTTGGTGTCATGATCCTGATGCTGGAGGAGATTGGTTCCCACTGCAGGAGAGCCTTCGATGTTCTTGAGGACATCATGATAGCCACTCCAAAACTCAGTGTGCTCGTGGTTGTCGTCTGGGTGACAATATCGGAGTAGATTATTGATTCTCCAGTTGACGGTTTGGAGATTCCACTCACATTCCATCTGCTTTCACAGATTCCAAGCACTTGCATGCCATACCTCCTCATCTCTTTGGAAATCTGAGCAGCTTTGATAGGTTCATGCGTGGTGCGGACATTCTATGTCCCCACGTTTACTCTCGTTTTCATTGAGAGAGAGAAGACACATCGGCCGACTGGCTTCCCGAAGGCTTTCATCAACCGGCGTCATTTTGTCTCTCCGATTCCAGCTAGGAATAAGTTTGTTCCTACTTTTTATATTTTGTTTGTGCTTTGAAGTTTCTTCAGCGGTTAGATTTGTTTTACGGGGTAGGGTTGCTAGCCCTATATCCAACCTTCCCTCTTTATCCGGGCTTAGGACCGGCTAGTAATAATGAACCATTTGACCGTACTTAATTATTAGGATGCCTGTTCAGTTGACTGAACACAGTAGTTGGTTTTCAAATACAGCAGCTTTATAAGAAAGGAACGTTAATTGACTATTTGAATGGAAATACTAATAAACAAGTATTAGTAATTAGTTTCGCTGATTTTTTCCAGTACGTGAATTATCTAGTGTAAATTGCTTATTAGGTGGAATAATGGTTTTTAAATGACAATTTTATTCCCATCACTGAATGCAGGCATGAAAATCTGAGCATCATTAAAAAAATCAATTGAAAAACGAAAAAATCACCACTCGTAACCCTGTCACTTTGGGCACGATAATTAGTCACAGTTTAGTATCTACTTGATAGGATTTCAGGAATAAATGAAAGCCAGTGAATAACGTTTGAAAATGAAGTAACGAGACACGGTTGCAGATCATGTCAAGATCTTGTATTTTCGTGGCTATCTAGATTACTTTTATTTACCGCATGACTTGCATAAAGATATGCACTCTAGGAAAGTAGACTATACCCACTGGCTCCTTATTCACTTCAAAATTGGTTATAAGCAAAAATATAAGAATGAATGTCTCCAGTTTATTTCTTCTAACAATCGAAGGTTGTTTAAGGAAAACGCTCAGCAGTTGCCAAGTGGCAGATCAGCTACGAGCAAATGATGTATACAGTACCTTGATATGTATCTTAGCAAACATTCAAGGTTATCTTTCGTTGTGTAGACAAAGTATTCAAAGGTACAGACCAATCCTGAAACACTCTTGTGTTTTAGAAAGAGTTGCTAAATGACAGATTTAAAGGTGTTTATCTTCTCCGTCCCTTGTGTTTGTCTAAAAGGACTTTATTATTGTTGTGATCAGAATAACTTAACATTTCTTTCAGCATCAAGTATTCAGTGTACAATCGAAGATATGAATGATCTTCGAATAGGAAAAGTATTTAAATACTAACTCAAAACACAAGCGGACATACTTTCCGAATACTATGCAACCAAGGTAACCGAAACCTAGACAGTTTTTAAATTTCTACAATCCCAGAAGAATAGATATGGTCTAAAGCTTCAAGTAAGGTCGTATATTACTTGAAACGCCTTCATGCCTTGGAAACAATGACGTCGAATATATGCATTTGATATGTCTGAGTGCTGTTATCACACACAGTAAAATGATCAAAGTAGGGAAAAAACCATATTCCATTACTAAGGAGTGATTGGTGATCAGTCTTTCTTGAGGAATCAAAAACTGAAGGTGACTGATATATGTTTATGTCAGACATACATTCTAAAAAGTTAAACCTAAAGTTTTCCATGTCTTTCTTATTGTTTTGTTTCTAATAAAATTTACTGGTGATTCATTTTTGTAAATTGAGAGTACCTGCTGTTTCGAAAAGGTTTTAGTAATTTGGGAATAATTTGAAAGTATTCAGACAATTTTCTTGTGCTTATCCATCAGAGATGTTGTTCCTAATTTTTGCTTTACCTTTAGGATTGAAATTAACATGTAGGGTTTGTTTTATTGAAGTAAAAGTACAAGAATAAGATGAAAGGATAAATATGAGCTAAACGCGATTCAGTTCATCTGCTTATCCAGGTGGGGTTTAAATAGTGCAGATAATTCTTTTCTCCAGCACCTTTCTCCGGCTAATTTTCTGATGAATTCACTTCCGAATTACTGACACCTGTCTGTTATTCGTTTATCAACAAATAGAGAAACCTAGGAAGTATCCAGTAGCTACAGCTTTTCGGACTGTTTTGTTGCAATAGTTTAACATTTCACCTGACAGTAAATTACATGCAATTATTGTAAATGAATAGATAATAATACCAATCTTATTAGCATCAAGTTCGGGTGATAAATCAACCTACCGTAGATAGGCGTGGATATAATTGAGCAGTATGCAGCAAACTGCATATTTTGTTACAAAATTTATCACTTAACTTGTTTGTCAGTAAGTTCAGCGGTTTTAAGAAATGCAAAGATTATGGGAATACTGAAAAGGCACTTTTTTAAAATGTTACATTTTTTAAATTTTCTCGGTTGTTATCCATTTTAGTTTTACAGGTTAATAGATGCTAATAAAGCTGATGATTTGTATTCAGTTATTTGTTTTTCAGTTGAAATATACTCTGATTTACTTCCCTTTAATTACGATTCTATCATATTTTCCTTGCTTTTCAATGTTCATTTATACATACTTATTTGTTTGAATGTTCAATATTCAAAAGCATAATTTACATGAAGAGATTGCTCGTGATTTCCGCTTCTCATGGCTTGCTCAAGTGTACGTAGTCAATCAGCTGAAGACGCTACGTATCTACCTCCTCCACCTCCTCTTAGTTGCTTGTCTACTGATGGTGATCAAAAGAGATCATTTTCAGACTCTTTAGCCTATGCCCCTTGTTTGCCTGCTCCTGTTCCAGTGATGAATGAAAATCATGTTGGCAAACCAACACTACTACCGAATCTCTCACAATCATCTCGTACTTCGCTAGGGGATTCAAAAAATACTGTAGTAGCAGCAGATAGTGAACAAAAGGCTACACCATCTCTGGTTCAGACACAGGCACAAGGATATGAATGTCGTAAGTTTTCTGCTTACTTAGTGTTAGTTATCATACAAACTTTTCTGTCAATAACTATTTTAATAGTCTTGGACCGTCATCCTGTATGAAGACCTAATAGCATAGACGATGGAAATGTACACTAAGTTGAGGTTTTTCTAAATATCATGTATAGTTCAACAATGAAGTATGAGCTAACGCAAGCCTAGCTCGGAGTCCACCTGCTGTATCAAGATATTCAAAAGCATCCAAGTATTTCCAGGAAAGAGATGTTAGTCGAAAGTGAAACTTAGTTCGAATACGTATATACAGGTAAACTGACTCCTAATTTTGAAGTAATAGTTGTGTTTCTTATGGACACTATTTTAAGCCTTCATTAAACAATATTCTTTTGATCCTTACTAGATACAGTAACAATAGAAACTTGGACTTTTTCGAACAAATAGTATGGCTTTGACTGCTGAGTTTCGTGAAAATTCATTCAGACTGTATCTAGATAGTATGCAGTGAGCTTATAAAATGGCATTTTGCGATGTTGATGTCAAATATTATCATCTTGTTAGTGTTGGTGTTGTATGAGTGGTAGCTGAGAGCCAAAGAATACCTGATTGTAAATAACTCATGTGATTTTTATGAATTGCGTACTATTTCCTCTTAGTATATCCCGCCTAATGCCTCCATAATCATGACGTGGTAAAAAACATAAATTGGTTGCATTCAACAAGTAGGTTGGAGAGGGTCCGTGCTTCTTAATGGATTTTCAATTGAATCCGGGAAGTACACGCTACTGAAAATTATAATATGATATAAAAGAATTGCTTGACTGAAGAATTATCATCAATTATTTCACTCCGTAGTTTGCCTAAGCTTTTGAAGCATAAGCTGATACTATTAATATCATAATTACTATTATTATTATATTATTATCATATGTCCCTTGGGTTCCTGATGGAATATAGGGCTTCAGTAGCACGTCTCCAATGCGCTCTGTTCTCTGAAATATTTTGAACCTGGCTCCACGACTACCCACAAGCTCTCATTTCCTCCTCACACGATCTCCTCCATGTCACCCTCACCTCAGACGCCCAACTCGTCGCTTCCCCTTTGGATTCCACTCGACGGTCTGCCCTAGTGTGTGATGTCCCCAGTCGGCCTTCTCAGTGTATCCCCAATCCAACTCATCTACACTTTCTTCTGCATATTTGTTGGGCGATGGGTTGTTGGTTGGTTCGTTGCCAGTCAGAGGTCCTTGTTGCTTGTTCTCTCTGCCCATCCATCTGATCTTCAGTATCGAGCGTAGGCAGCTCTTGATGAATGTCTGTAGCTTGTTGGAAGTGCTTTTCGTGACACGCCAAGTCTCTGAGCCATACAGAAACACTGACTTGACTGACGTTGGTGTTGAAAATCTGGATCTTATTCATGCTTTATACTGAGTGCAGCAGATCTCCACACTGATTTCAGATTGATGAAAGCCTGTCTTGCTGGTTTTCCGATCCTGGTCATGACATTCTCGTCTGTGCCGCCTGTAGTTGGAACAGTGCTGCCCAGGTAGATGAAAGACTGCTGCCTAGGTATGTAGGTGAAAGAGGCTACTTCCTTTAGGTTTCTCCCGTTAATGGTGATTGGTGCTTGTTGTTGATGCTGTTGTTGTTTTGGTATCTTCATCACCTCTGTCTTCTCCGCATTCACTTGAAGTCCCGTCTTCGCTGCCTCTTCGGTCAACTTGTTAGTCTTCGCCTGTAGATCTTCGAGTTTGTGCGACAAGACATTGGACATAAATCATCATCGAGGGCGGAATCCAAATCTTTTTCTGAGGTCTTTTCATCGGTCCAGCCAGCGTATGTCCATCTTCTCGCTCCTCACGGTTTGCTGCATGATCCAGTCCAGTCGAACACAATCAAGAATGTCATGGGTGATAGTAGGCAGCCTTGTTTCACTCCTGTCTTCACTTCAAAGGCGTCAATGAGCTTTCCATTGTGGATCACTTGGCATGTGGCGTCTTCACATAGCTGTTGAATGAGGTTGATAAAGATTAGTGGCACACAACAGTGTTGAAGCAGTTTCCGAATTACTTCTCGGTCGGCGCTGTCGAAGGCCTTCTCAAAGTCGATGAAGTTGAGGTAGAGAGTTGACTGCCATTCTATACTCTGTTCTATGATGATGCGTAGCATAGCGTTGCAATTTCATCCACACATGATTTGTTCCTCCCGAAGCCAGTCAGCCAGCCAGCCAGCCAGCCAGCCAGCCTGTTACGGTCGTAGTTTTGAATCCAGTGCATCTTGTAGTCTCTCCAGGATGATGTGGCATCATAATTTGCTTGGGGGTGGACAGCAGCATGATTCCTCGCAAGTTCTTGCAAACACTGAGGTCTCCCTCCTTCGGGAGTTTGACGAGGTAGCCCTTCTTCCAATCAATCAGCAGGTACCTTCCCTTCCTTCCTTGCAAACCTTCTGCAGTAGTTTCATCCTTCAGTTTCTGTTCTGGGTGTTGAACTTGGACTGTGGTCTATCATCAACTTCTTTGAAGGTCTTCAACTTGATTTGGAAGGTTCCTTGCACTAGATAGTGAGTGGTGTGAAGCTAAATCTGCTCCCCTTCTTGATCTCGTGTCAAGTAGGCTGCGTCTCCACTTTCTTCGCATTGAGATGAAGTCGATCTGATTTCTAGTGTGTCCTGGTGTCTGGTGAAATCCATGTCGCTTTGTGAATATCCTTGTGTTTGTACACACTGCCTCGCCTCCAATCACCAAATCGTTGAATACACAGAAATCTGCAAACAGTTCTCCATTCTCATTCATCATTTCACCGAGTGCTTCTCGACACATGATGAGTTCTCTTCCTGTGTTGTCCGCTCCCAATTTGGCATTCATGTCATCTATTAGAATTTTGATGTCATTAACTGGATTGTGGTCTTGTCCATTACTGATTGCAGTTGTCTGTTGAATTCCTTCTTCTTCTCTTGATTCGCATTATTTGTAAGTGCACTGGGTAGCATTGTACGATTGTGACTTTCATTCCTTTTGAGTTGAATCTTGGTGTCATGATCCTGATGCTGGAGGAGATTGGTTCCCACTGCAGGAGAGCCTTCGATGTTCTTGAGGACATCATGATAGCCACTCCAAAACTCAGTGTGCTCGTGGTTGTCGTCTGGGTGACAATATCGGAGTAGATTATTGATTCTCCAGTTGACGGTTTGGAGATTCCACTTCCATTCCATCTGCTTTCACAGATTCCAAGCACTTGCATGCCATACCTCCTCATCTCTTTGGAAATCTGAGCAGCTTTGATAGGTTCATGCATGGTGCGGACATTCTATGTCCCCACATTTACTCTCGTTTTCATTGAGAGAGAGAAGACACATCGGCCGACTGGCTTCCCGAAGGCTTTCATCAACCGGCGTCATTTTGTCTCTCCGATTCCAGCTAGGAATAAGTTTGTTCTTACTTTTTATATTTTGTTTGTGCTTTGAAGTTTCTTCAGCGGTTAGATTTGTTTTACGGGGTAGGGTTGCTAGCCCTATACCCAACCTTCCCTCTTTATCCGGGCTTAGGACCGGCTATTAGCTGGTGAACTAGTTATCCAGGTGGATCTTAATCTCTAAAGAAATATGCTTTTTATGATGAAGCATGTTTTGGATATTGCGAAGCTAAAGGTCTTTCTATTCTGTAGGTCAACTCGCTATAGCACTGTACCCACTATCCGTTATTCTCGTTCGTAGAAATATTTACCAGATTCTTTGGACAAAAGCACTTTCTGCAGTTTTTGATATAACCAGCTGTCGATTCGTTGGTAGCTTCAGTGAACTGCATTTGCATTTAGTCCTTTCTTGTTGTTTGATACTTGTAATTTCCAGCTGCTACATTGTGTCGAACTACTTGACCTTTGCTAACAGATAGGCTCCTATGCAAATGCAGCGGTACTACCCGAATATTTTTATGTTGTAGTTTGCTTATTTTATTTTGATTAGTTTTATTACAGTGTAGATTAGCAACAGGTAATGGCTTGCTCAAGCTGTTAAAATATTTTGTATCTTGTAACAACGAGTTGTTATAAGAGAATATCTTCATTCATTGTCCACAGAATATGCAGTACGTCTTATTATTCATATCAAAAGCTGACAAGATTCGCCTACTTCACTAAATAAGCCTCTACGAAAGGTCAGGAAACCTTTATCCTGAGCTTTGATTAAATTTTTAACACAATTCATCAGTAGCGGTATTAGCAGGATATGGCTCACGACATGAAAGACTGGATCAGACAATTGAGTACGGGAAGTTAATTATTATGTTGTCTGAACTTGTACCTAATATAGTGCACAGTAGATTTTTAACTGATTACCAAACTGCCTGTCTATTTTGAAACCAGTTTCCTTCACAACTTTTTGTCTTGTTGCAACCTTCACCCTAATATTTGCACAAACTGTCATTTTACTTATAATTTGCAGAAGTGGAATCATTTCCAGGTGTGTACCCTGAGTCACGTCTTGCAGAACGAAATCCACTAGACGACGTTGATTTGGGCCGTAATTTGGCTGTACAGTCACAGCGTGACAGAACAAATTTCGCTTATTTAAATCCCAACGATCCTGATTATACTCAACGCCAGTCTACTATAAATCCTAATTATCCAACTGAACAGATGAGCTCACATGAAAGGGAACCTACAGAGGAATGGCGTATTGGTCCAGCCCCAACATTCACTGGAACATCAACAGGTATCGGTTTCCGTCTTGGATACACAACACTTCAAAGTGGTTCAGTTGAACAAGAGTCAAAGACTTTAGATAACTGGTCAGGACCAGGAAAAATACTTACTGGTAGTCAACATGATGTTCAACTGAAAAAAGTTTCATGTTAAATTCAACGAGAATCAAGACGATTGTGGAATCAATAAAAAGAAGAAGTCATGATCTCTCGCATACTAACTTTACACCCAGCGGAAAATAACTTCTCTTCAAAGCAAATCTTAGAAGAATTATATGATATGTTATAATGAAAGGACGAATAGAGATGAGCATCATAGCTAGTGAATTATTGCTTGTAAAAAGCCGACTAAGTTTATTTTATACCCTATTTGCTTCAATAATAATTAGGTAGAAACGTTTCAAACACTATAGACATAATTTTTATTGGTTGATATCTTTAATCATAATTATGATGTTTATCTAATGAACAGTTCATTGTTCAATATTCCTTTTTCACTGCCTTGGATAACTACCTAAATTTAACCTTCAAATAATCAGTAAAGAAAAGAAAACTCGCTGGTTAAGTTGTATGACCAGTATTATTATGAATAACCAAGTTACCCATATTTTTTCCACTATTCAAATACCATTAATAATAAAATATAAAAGTGATGCTAGTAGTAGTAGAAGTAGTGGTAGTGTGAGTAGTAGTAGTAGAAGTAGTAGAAGCATGAGTAGTAGTACTAGTAGTAGTAGCAGTAGTAGGGTGAGTAGTAGTACTAGTAGCAGAACTGTTAGAAGTACTAGTAGTAGTAGTGTGAATAGTAGTAGTAGTAGTAGTAGTAGTAGTAGTAGTAGTAGTAGTAGTAGTAGTAGTAGTAGTAGTAGTAGTAGTAGTAGTAGTAGTAGTAGTAGTGGAGAGAGTAGTAGTAGCAGTAGTTGTAGTAGTAGTAGTAGTATGAGAAGTAGAAGTAGTAGTAGTGTGAGCTGTAGTAGTAGTAGCGTGAGTAGTACTAGTGTGATTAGAAGTAGTCGTAGTAGTAGTAGTAGTAGCGTTAGTAGTAGTAGTAGTAGTGTGAGTAGCAGTACTACTAGTAAAAGTAGTAGTAGTACCCTGAGTAGTAGTAGTAGTAGTAGTAGTAGTGTGAGTAGTAGCAGTAGTAGTAGTGTGAGTAGTAGTAGTATTAGTAGTAAGGTGAGTAGTAGTAGTAGTAGCAGTGTGAGTAGTAATAGTAGTAGGAGTGTGAGTAGAGGTAGTAGTATTAGTAGTAGTAGTGTGAGTAGTGTTAGTAGTAGTAGTGTGAGTACTAGTAGTAGCAGTAGTAGTATTGTCAGTAGTAGTAGTAGTAATAGTAGTAGTACTGTGAGTAGTAGTAGTAGCAGTTGTATTGAGAGTAGCATTAGTAGTAGTAGTCGTACTAGTAACAGTAGTAGAAGTAGCAGTAGTAGGAGTGTGAGCAGTAGTAGTAGTAGTAATACTGGTAGTAGTGCGAGTAGCAGCAGTCACAGTAGTAGTAGTGAGGGTAGTAGTAGCAGTAGAAGTAGAATTATTAGTAGCAGTAGTGTGAGTAGTAGCATTAGTGGTAGTGTGAGTAGTATAAGTATTAGTAGTGGTAGTAGTAGAGTGAGTAGCAGTCGTAATCGTAGTAGTAGTGTGAGTAGAGATAGTAGTAGTAGCGTGATTAGAGGTAGTAGTATTAGCAGTAGTAGTGTGAGTAGTAGCACTGTGAGTAGTAGTAGTAGTAGTAGTAGTAGTAGTAGTAGTAGTAGTCGTACGAGTGTGAGCAGTAGCAGTAGTAGAAGTAGTAGTAGTGTGAGTAGTAGTGGTGGCAGTAGTAGTAGTAGTGTGAGTAGCAGTAGTTACAGTAGAAGTAGTGAGAGCAGTAGTATCAGTATCAGTAGAATTATTAGTAGAAGTAGTGTGAGTAGTAGCATTAGAGGTAGTGTGAACTGTAGAAGTATTAGTAGTGGTAGAAGTAGCGTGAGTAGCAGTCGTAATCGTAGTAGTAGTGTGAGTAGTAATAGTAGTAGTAGTGTGATTAGAGGTAGTAGTATTAGTAGTAGTAGTGTGAGTAGTAGCAGTAGTAGTAGTGTCAGTATCAGTAGTAGTAGTAGTGTGAGTAGTATCAGTAGTAGTAGTGTGAGTAGTAGCAGTTGTAGTAGTGTGAGTAGTAAGAGCAGTAGTAGTGGCGTGAATAGTAGTAGTAGTGGTGGTAGTGTGAGTAGCAGTAGCAATAGTACTAGTGTGAATAATAGTAGTAATAGTAGTAGTAATAATGGCAGTATTAGTATTGTGAGTAGTGTAGTAGCATTAGTAGTGTGAGTATTAGTGGTAGTAGTTGTAGTGTGAGTAGTGTTAGTAGTTGTGTGAGTAGTAGTAGTATTAGTGTCTGTATTAGTAGGAGCAGTAGTAGTAGTATTAGAAGTATCAGTATTAGTAGGAGTAGTAGGAGTGTGAGCAGTAGTAGTCGTAGAGTCAGCAGTAGTAATAGTGTGAGTAGCAGTAATACTGTGGGCAGCAGTACTGGTAGTAGTTTGAGTAGTATCAATAGCAGCAGTATTAGTAGTGTGAGTAGTAGTATAAGTAGTGAAAGTAGTAGCAGTAGTAGTAGTACAAGTGTGAGTAGTAATAGTAGTAGTAGTAGTAGTAGTAGTAAAAGTAGTGATGATAGTGTGAGATATAGTAGTAGTAGTAGTAGTAATTGTAGCAGTGAGAGTAGTAACAGTATTAGTAGTGTGATTAGAGGTAGTAGTAGTAGTAGCACTAGTGTGAGCAGTAGTAGTAGTAGCAGCAGGAGTAGCAGAAGTAGTATTAATAGTAGGGTGAGTACTAGTAGTTGTAGTAGTATGAGTAGTAGCAGTTTTAGTACTGGTAGCATTAGTGTCAAAATTATTAGTAATAATAGTGGTAGTCGTGTGAGTAGTGGTAGTCGTAATATTAGTAGTGTGAGTAGCAATAGTAGTAGTCGTATTAGTAGTGTGAGTAGTACTAATAGTAGTAGTATTAGTAGTGTGATTAGTGGTTGTATTAGTATTATTATTGTGAATAGTAGTAGCAGTAGTAGTAGTAGTGCGAGTAGTAGTAGTAATAGAATTATCAGTAGTAACGGCCGTAGTAATAGTGTGGGCAGTAATAGTATTAGAAGTAGTATTAGTAGTGTGAGTAGTAGTAGTAGTAGTGGTAGTACCAGTAGTAGTAGTAGTAGTAGTGCTGGTGTTGAGAGTACTATTAGTAGTAGTAGTAGTAGTAGTAGTAGTGGTAGCAGTACTAGTAAAATTAATGATAGTATTAGTAGAAGTAGTGTGAGTAGTAGTATTAGTAGTTGTAGTGTCAGTGGCAGTAGTAGTACCAGTGTGATTAGCAGTAGTAGTAGTATTGTGAGTAGTGGTATTAGCAGTAGTGCGAGTGGTAGTACTAGTAGTAGTAGTGTGAGTAGTACTAGTAGTATAAGTAGTGTGAGTAATAGTAATAGTAGTATTTTTACCGTGAATATTAGTAGCAGTAATAGTAGTAGTAGTGCGAGTATTAGTAGTAATAGTAGTAAAAGTGGTAGTAGTATTAGTAGTAGTGTGAGTAGTAGTAGTTGTAGTAATAGTAGAGTGAGTGTTAGTAGCATTAGTATTGTGGATGGCAGTATTAGTGTGAGTATTAGCAATAATTCTATTAAAAGTAATAGCAGAAATAGTAGTGTGTGTAGTACTAGTATTAGTAGTAGTGTGATTAGTAGTAGCAGTAGTATCAGTGTGAGTAGTAATAGTCGTAGTGGTATTAGTAGAGTGAGTAGTAAAAGTAGTAGCAGCGTGGGTAATACTAGTAGTATTAGTAGTAGTAGTTGTGTGAGTAGTATTGATAATAGTACTAGTAGTAGTAGTAGTGTCAGTAATAGTACCAGTAGTGTTAGTAGTGTGGGTGGTTGTAGCATTAGTAGTGTGAGTCGTAGTAGTAGTGTGAGTAGTAGTAGTAGTATTGGTAGTAGTAGTAGTGTGATTAGCAATACTAGTAGTAATGTGATTAGCAGTTGTATTGGTATTGTGAGTGGTAGTATTATTAGTAGTGTTCGTGGTAGTAGTAATGTTAGTAGTAGTAGTAGTAGTACTAGTGTGAGTGATAGTAGTAGTGTGGGTAGTAGTAGTAATAATCGTAGTGTCAGTAGTACTAGTAGTACTAGTAGTACTAGTACGGGTAGTATTATTGCGAGTAGTAATAGTCGTTGCAGCGTGAGCTGTAGTAGTAGTGGTAGTTCTGTGAACAGCACTAATTGTAGTAGTATTGTGAGTAGTAGTAGTAGTAGTAGTAGTATCGTGAGTCGTAGTAAAAATAGTAGTAGTAGTAGTAGTATTGTGAACAGTAGTAGTTGTATTAGTAGTGCTATTCGTGTGGGTAGTATTAATGATAGTAGTAGTAGTAGTGTCAGTAGTAATAGAAGTAGTAGTAGTGATAGTGTGAGTAGTAGTAGTAGTGTGAGTAGCAGTATTAGTAGTGTTAGTAGTGGTGTGAGTAGCTGTATTTTTAGTAGCATTAGTAGTACCGTGAGTAGTTGTATTAGTAGTGTGAGTATTGGTAGTAGTAGTAGTAGTAGTAATAGTAGTAGTAATAGTATTACTAGCGTCAGTATTAGTATTAGTAGTATTGTGAGCAGTAGTATTAGCAGTAGTGGTGTGAGTAGTAGTAGTAGTTGTAGTAGTGTGAGTAGCAGTTTTTGTATTAATATTAGAAGTAGCGGTAGTAGTATTAGTGTGAGTAGTAGTAGCAGTAGTAATACCAGTTGTGCTGTGAGTAGTAGTAGTACTATTAGTGTGATTAGTAGTAGTAGTATTAGTATTAGTGGTTTGATTAGTAATAGTATTAGTAGTGTGAGCAGAGACAGAAGTATTATTAGTACCAGTGTGAATAGTAGTAGTATTAGTAGTAGTTGTATAGTGAGTAGTAGTAATAGTAGTAGTAGTATTAGTAGTGTGATTATTACTAATAGTAGTAGTAGTGTGAGTGTGATTAATAGTAGTAATAATAGTGTGAGAAGCGGTAGTAATATTAGTAGTAGTAGTGTGAGTAGCGGTAGTAGTATTAGTATTGTGAGTAGTAGAAATACTAGCAATATTAATAGTGTGAGTAGTAGTAGCAGTATTATCGGAGTAGTAGTGTGAGTAGTAGTATTAGTATTAGTAGGATTGT